AATATTCAGAAATATTTAACGATAAAACAAATTCCTCAAAAGTTTTCCGTATTAGTAAAAGATAGCATAATAGCAGGATATAGAATTTCATAAATTTAATCTTTATCAAACTTGCTCAATTTTTGTTTATATATTCATATGTTACTAACCAAGAAAATAGAACTTTGGCTGGGTGTGGTGACTCACACCTGTAATACCAGGATTTTGGGAGGCCAAGACTGCAGGATTGCTTCAGCCCAGGAGTTCGAGACCAGCCTGGGGAACAAAGGAGACCCCCGTCTCTACAAAAAAATCAAGTTAGCTGGGTGTGCTGGTGCACACCTGTGTCCCAACTACTTGGGAGGCTGAAGCAGGAGGATTGCTTGAGCCTGGGAGGTCAAGGCTACAATGAAATATGATTGTATCACTGCATTCAAGCCTGAGTGACAGAGTGAAATCCTGTTTCAAAAGAAAAAAATAGAATGGAATTTTTTTTAGTCAAAGAACTGTCATTGCACATTTTTTGTTTCCATAAAGATTCTTTGCTTTATACAACTGCTATTTTTTTTCTTGTCTTGGAACCATCTGTTCTTTACGGTAGGAACCAACATTTTCTTAAATGAGAAAAACAGTTGGATGTTAGCAGAGGGTCTATCTTCAGTTACAGATTGAGGTATTTTGAAAGATACCAGGAAAACTTGTAAAGGATTTAGGAGAATTGAAGTCTAAAATAGATTTTTAAAAAATGCATATGGGGGGAAAAAAGTCAGAAAAATACAAATTTCATGCCTGGGAGTCTTACAGAGACCAAGCAGAATGTAACTATGTTACAATATACTCTATTCAGAAAAGCCTGTCCATGGCCACAGCTGCCTTTACTGTGGATTGATACCTTTAACACTTCGATAATCCATAAATTAAAAAGTTTAGGCCGGGCATGGTGGCTCACGCCTGTAATCCCAGCACTTCGGGAGGCTGAGGCAGGTGGATCATGAGGTCAGGAAATCGAGACCATCTTAACCAATATGGTAAAACCCCGTCTACCAAAATACAAAAAAATTAGCTGGGCGTGGTGGCACATGCCTGTAATCCCAGCTGCTTGGGAGGCTGAGGCAGGGAAATCTCTTGAACCTGGAAGGTGGAGGCTGCAGTGAGCGGAGATCGCGCCACTGCACTCCAGCCTGGTGACAGAGCAAGACTCCATCTCAAAAAAAAAAAAAAAAAAATTTAGTTCATAGCTGCAGAGTGTTTCTTTCAGTTCCTAATGTGGATCTACCACCCCTGTGTTCATCGAGATTCCGGTCTGGACCTCCTGGAGAAGAGGCCCAAGTGGCTAGCCAGTTCATTGCAGATGTCATTGAAAAGTAAGAGCACCATGATAAAATTTTACTGTAATTCATTTTCAGATAGTTTTTGACTTTTCATTTACTTTGCTCTTTGTCATTAAATCAAGTTCACAGATAATTCAGAAAGAGGACTTATGCATTTCTCCAGGGAAGGTAAGAGGAATAGAGAAGCTATAAGTTCTTATTAATTCTGAAGAGATTTTTTTTGTGGGGGAAAGGGAACAAGGAAATTAAAATCACCAATCAAAGTAGCCTTAAATATGGCTGCTTTACAGATTTTAGAGATTCAGTCATTTCTTACTCTATAATGCTCTAAGTGAACCATATTGTTTATAAAAAACAAGTTTGACTAACTTACCACCTGTCTGGGAGCTACCTTTTAAACTGAAGTAATTTTTTTCCCCCCTTAACCTGTAGAGAAAAGTTCAATCATTTTTTATTCCTTATAGCAGATTATAACATTGATCATATTAACATATGTTTTTGGTGAATCCACAGTAGATTCCAAAGTCTATTTGAAAATGTAAAACTAGGTTGATTAGAACCTAGAGAGGCTTTCCATAAACTGATACGTTAGCACTGTAAAACCTAAACATTTCATGTATTATGGGAAAGTGCATTTTGAATTTTAGCTAGGGCTTTCAAAACCATCTTCCTTATCTGTAACCTCCCACTAAGAATGGAAATTCCTTCTACATCTGTAGCTCCATTAAGGGAAATGGACATGTTTGTCATTTGTCAGCTTGGCAATCAAAGGCCAGCTTTCACCAAACCTGTCCACTTTCTTCTGGTTTTCTACTTGAAAAAGGTAAAGCATTTTCTTAAGGTTTTTGAGCCTTGAAGGTTATCTTGCTTGTTTAACCAAGGGTTCTGTGGTTCTTAAGTCTAAGCGAATAGCATGTTCTACCCATTAGAAGGCTTTAATTTCCTTTTGTGTTAATTCTATTTTAGCTTGCCTGGGTTCTATACTGTGATCTCATTTGCCTCGACTATGATGGAAACATTTTGGATGCCTGCACATTTGCTTTGTTAGCGGCTTTAAAAAATGGTAAGCAGCCTTACAAAAACGGCAATATTCCCACTAATGGGTTAAAATGTTCTGTTTTGTGAAACTTTTAATGTACATTTGCTTTCGTATGCTTCCAAATTAATGAATGTAATACTGCCATTACTTTCCAAATATAGTTGATAGTTGTATATTCTCTAACTGAATGCTCTTTAGAGTGCTGCTTTGACTGTACCCGTCTACTTAGGTTAGGACTTCAGTCCTTTCCATAATAGTGTTAATAATGGTGGGAGAGGGAGACAAGACTTGTAACTTCTGGCTAGGTGATTGGTGAAGATCTGCCAGTATCCTCATAGTTCTTTATGTGATATTGCCAAAAGAATTAGAATGGATTCTGTTGTTTTTACTGTGAGGCCATAGTAATAGTGAAGTTTCTTAGCAAGGAGTCTAGGTTGACTGATTAGTTACAGATTTCAATAACTTGTGCATATTCCCTATCATTGGTGAATGATGAATTGGTAGGAACAAATAATTGGAGGTAGAAAATAAAGTTAGCACAGCAATATTATAATAGAGTGGTTAAGTGAATTGGAGGTAGAAAATGAAGTTAGCACAATATTGTAACAGAGTGGTTAAAGCAGAGACTTAGGTTTGATTCCTGGCTCTGTCACTCTGTGCTGAAGTTTCCTTATCTATAATAAAATAGGGATAATAGTATTTAGTTTGTAAGAGTATTGATTAGGTGAATACAGTGAAAATGTGGAAATGCGTAAAACAGTACCTGGCATATACAACTTAGCTAGACATGTTATCTATTAGTAATCATTTTCATTTCAAAACTGGGTACAGTGGCACATGCCTATAGTCCCACACAGCTACTGGGGAGGTTGAGGTGGGAAGATTGCTAGGAATTTAGTTCTAGCCTGGGCAACATAACAAGACCCGATCTCTAAAAATTAAAAAAAAAAATCATTTTGACTTCTTAAACTTAAAAAAATTATGCAATAAGCACTAGGTAGGCATGTCAGATGTTGTGAAGAGCAATGTATATCCTCTGTATTTACCTTAGTGGCTGTAAGGTGCTTTTTAAAAAGAAATGTTCTGGGCAAGTTCAATCGAGGGAAAGGTGAATTAAAAAAAAAAACAAACTTAGAAACCATTTGTTTCTTAGAGACTTACTTTACAAATTTGCCTTTTCTTAGTACAGTTGCCTGAAGTTACTATAAATGAAGAAACTGCTTTAGCAGAAGTTAATTTAAAGAAGAAAAGTTATTTGAATATTAGAACTCATCCAGTTGCAACTTCCTTTGCTGTGTTTGATGAGTAAGTTAATCAAACTTACTTTAAAATTTTCTATATTTAAGATTTGGGTAATTGATGTTCAGCATTCTAACTCTTCAGGAAGTGCTATGGTGACTCTACATCCTAGTTTTCCCTGGACACTTGAGTTTATACTTGTCCCTGCACAATTATTTATAGTCAACCTGTCTGCTTTCATAAGCATCCTGATTTGGATGATAATTGTGTTCACTTTACCTCTTCCTTGGTTTACTTATACCTGTGTAATGTTAATTTCTAATTCTTTCACTAAAGATTTACCTGAAGCTATCTTCAGTATTTTCCAAGGATTTCAGCACATTCAGAAATAGTAGAGCAGGGCGAGGCATGGTGGGTCATGCCTGTAATGCCAGCACTTTGGGAGGCTGAGGCAGGGTATCACCTGAGGTCAGGAGTTCGAGACCAGCCTGGCCAAGACGGTGAAACCCTGTCTCTACTAAAAATACAAAAATTAGCTAGGTGTGATGGTGTGTACCTGTAATTCCAGCTACTTGGGAGGCTGACAGTATGTTTAGTATTTTTAAAGTAAAATTTGTTCCATGGATTGATAACTTATACTTTTTTCTTTTTATAGCACTTTGCTTATAGTTGACCCTACTGGAGAGGAGGAACATCTGGCAACAGGAACCTTAACAATAGTAATGGATGAGGAAGGCAAGCTCTGTTGTCTTCACAAACCAGGCATGTTCCTGCCACTTCAGTCCTAAACATATGTAGATGAAAACTCAGTGTGAACCTTAAATTAGGGAGGGCCAAATGGAATATGGGATATTTCATTTACCTAATTTAAGTTTACTGTAGTTTCTTAGCTACCTCAAATTTTCTTCCATCTTAATGGTATATGTCAGTGATTCTTAAACTTAAGACATACATTAGAATCACTTGGAGGTCTTGTGAAACTAACTTGCAGATCTTGAGACTGTACCCTGATTTATGTTATCCAATTTTTTTGTTTCATAATTTGATATGACATTAATGTTTTTTGAAAAGCAGTGATAGATTAAAAGTATTGGCAAAATAATTTTTCAGGTGGAAGCGGGCTGACTGGAGCTAAACTTCAGGACTGCATGAGCCGAGCAGTTACAAGACACAAAGAAGTTAAAAAATTGATGGATGAAGTAATTAAGAGTATGAAACCCAAATAAATAGCCACTTTTCAAAACAGATTTGTAAAAATTGTATTTGTTAACACTGTGCACAAACATTTTATACTAAATAAATATCAAACTACATTCTTCTGAAAGATGTTTCTATTATTTCTTAGGTCACTTCCATATAATGTATAGTGAAACCATTTTTAAAAAGCAATGACTTAGGCAAACCAACCCTAGTTTGTTAAACCATTTCCCTGTTTTTATTTAAAAATGATAAGGTTGTGCTTCTGTATAAAGTTTGTACATCTAGCAATGTAAAATACTGACACATTAAAAAAACAAAAAGTAGAAACTCAATCCTTTTGATTCAATGCTCTTGTGTTTTTAAAAAAGGAACAAACAATAATGCAAGACTCAGAATTTTGGACTGGTTGGCGTGCCTCTCTTCATTTTACTTTTTGACTGGCTGCCTGTATGCCGATGACGATGTAGCTGAGCTGTTTGTGCTGCTGCTGCTGCCATAGCCATTTGATGCTGCAAGAATCGCAACTGCTGCAAAAGGGAGGGAAAAAATCGAGTTATGTTAAATGCAGGCAGGTGTGGAAAGGTGCTTTTCCTGAGAGTGACGAAACAACACAACTGAAAAAGGGAGAAAGCACCAAGATAACAAAAAGGGACTATACCACATTGAGACAATGCACAGTCAAACAGCACCAGTGGCACAGAAGCCTGCTGAGGGCTTTAAAAATGATTCTTGGCAAACTTCAAAATTATTTGTTACTTTGCCCTGCCAGTCTATATTGTAGTAACTCAGCAACTTCAGTTACCATTTTGTTGTATGATGATAGTTTATAGCAATATAAAACAACCCTGAATATCAAGATAGTCAACTATAATATGCTGACTTTCCTTCCTAAAATGATGGTATAACATTTTTCTAAATAAACAGGTATGACATTTACTAATAGGAACACTTTTCTGCAATAAAATATTAGAAAGTTAACAATTGGCACTTACAACTGTCTATTTCAAAATACACTGCATACTAGAAAAATGTATGTTAATGTGCCACCAGCACTTCATGAAAAATTTTAAGAGTATGGCTTAAATGTACAAAATATATTCAGTGCTCCAAGTTGACTGGCTAAAATGTCAAGACTTTTAAATAAAATTTGCTAAATTATTTACCAATTACTGTACAGTCTTAAAAGACAGTAAAATAAAACTAAAGCAAGTTATTTTGAGGTACTTTTGGAGCTGAGTATCTTTAAAAATGTAATCAGAGTGAAGTTGCTGGATTACTTGTATCTGTTGCTGCTGCTGTTGAAAGGCAGAGGAGAGCTGGAATCTCTGCTGAGGAAGGCTTTGCTCAGGTCTGTTCTCGGCAGAGCCAAGCTGAGACAACACTACAGAGAGGAGAAGGGGAAAGCAGGCCAGTCAAAAAGTTTGAAGGCTACCAGGGTTAGAAAAGGACAACACAGAAAATGAAATAATAGAAAAGTTAGCAGTACGATTAATCTTAAGTATCAAATCATAGACATTTCAGAATAAATTTAGTATATGGTCTCCTGTTAGTTGGGGGTACCACTGATTATGGAACTTTCTGGACACAGAGAAGGGAGTGCATTATGTGTCAAAGCACTGAACCTCTCGCATCTGTATAAAATTTGATACTGGTGCTATTTTGTTTAGAAGAGTACATTATTTTTGAAATATAACCAACAGTAGGAGAAGGGAGATGGAAGAAATCCAAACTATCGTAACAACAAAGCTGGTAGACAGACAATTGCTTTAAACAAAAGATGTTGCAATGAATATCAGACTACTCTATTAACAACAGAGGTGATGAACTGAGACTGAGCATTGTTTGTTATTTTTTGAGCTGAGTGGAACCACAGTAATCAGTTCAACACTTATTTTACATATGAGGAAGTTTGAAGGCCAACATGATTTAAGTGACTTGGACTCAAATTATGGCAATCTGTGGCTAGGAACATTCTCAAGACTTTTCAGACTAGAGTTGTCACTAAATTATACTAGAGCTATTTTTGGAAATTCACAACTGGGCTGATAAAGGTATATAATTACATAAACTTCTCTTTGGAAATTCACTACCTCTGAGTTGGAACTTTATATGTAAGGATTACTTACTTCCAAAATAAAGATTATTCTAAAAGACTTCTAAAGGCATAGTAAGCCCACAGTGATAAGATATTGACAACAAAGTCACTCATTCAATCCTCAAACTCTTACAGCTTTCTTATACATGTGGCTTACTCTTTTAAATAAGTATAAAGTTAGAATTATCTTCAACTGACAGGAATCATTAAGAGTAATCTTTAGTTCACCATTTACTGCTGGGAAGTGTTGAGAAGTTAATCTTTTCTTAAATGATAATAGTGGCTTACATAAGTTATGCTATTGTCCATTAAGACTTAAAGTCATTTATGCAACTACAAATTACCAGAATGAAACAAAAGATTATGCAATCTAGAAAAATTCAGTCTTAACCCAGGAAAACGAAAAAGTTATTAATTAACATAACTACTGGCAAACACTGAAAACAGCTCTGGTAACCTAGTAAAGTGGATAATTATTAAATTTTGCCAGTAAACTGTAACATAAGGAAAACACAACTGTGGTAATTATGTTAAGTCAAAGCTCTTTTAATTAATGCACTATCAAATTAATGAAAAAAATCTCAGCCATTAATCAATTTAATAGTTCACACATTATAGCTTTACTTTTTCCTGTTTACTGGTTGTAAGGGAAGGCAAAGAAAATAAGTGGTGAGATCCCAAATAGATTGAATATGTTTAGTAAACTCAGCATATAAAGTTATGAAGATACCTACCAGCTGCCTGTGACTGCATAAAACTTCCTACTCCAGTAAGGTTAATAACAGCAGCTTGCTGAGCAGATAAGGCCTGTTCTTGACTGGTTGAACCTTGTTCAGAACCCTGAATAACAAAATAAATGACTTGTACAAGAAAGAAAAACAAATTTGAGCTGGTGAAAATAAATCAGCATTTTTTCCGCTATGAAATAAAGCAGTATGAGACTAGTCTTGTAAAAAGAGTAACAAGGAAAATACTTCAAAGGTATTTAGAGTAAGCAAGAATAAATTTATACCATTTGAACAAAGAAAACTTTCTTTTTCAGTGCATCTGTATTTATTGTTTGATGCTACCAAGATAATGCCTAAGGCTTTTATAAAGCTTCACCGAAACAATTTTTTAAAGCTTAAAACACTCTTTGTAACATAAACATAGTACTGGAACTTTATGTGTTTTGTTTTTTGAGACGGAGTCTTGCTCTGTTGCCCAGGCTGGAGTGCAGTGGCGCAATCTGGGCTCACTGCAACCTCCACCTTCTGGGTTCACGCCATTCTCCTGCCTCAGCCTCCCGAGTAGCTGGGACTATAGGTGCTTGCCACTACACCTGGCTAATTTTTTGTATTCTTTAGTAGAGATGGGGTTTCACTGTGTTCGCCAGGATGGTCTCGATCTCCTGACCTTGTAATCCGCCCACCTCGGCCTCCTAAAGTGCTGGGATTACAGGCGTGAGCCACCGCGCCCGGCCGGCATATCGATTTTATAGGAAAAAATAAAATTGTCCTTATTTGCAAATGGCACAACTGTTTATACTGTAGAAAATCCTAAGCAATCTCCAAAACAGCTCCTAGAAATAGTAAGTTCAGTAAGAGGGCACAATACAAGATCAATATACAAAAATCAACACTATATATACTAGTAATTAACATGTGAAAACTGAAATTAAAAAGATACCATTCACAGTTACTCAAAAAAACAGAGAAAAGCTTAGGTATTAATCTTAAGTCTAAGAAAACATATATGGGGCTTATATACCAAAAACTACAAAACATTGATTTTGGTCTAGATAAGGACATACTATGTTCATGTACTGGAAGACTTACATCATAAAGACAGCAGTTCTTCCCCCAAACTGATCAACAAGCATAACTCGATTCTTTTAGAAATGCTGGCAAAGTTTTTGTAGATACAGACAAGATGACTTTAAAATTTATATGGAAAGGTAGAGAACCTACATTAACTACAATAATTTTGAAAAATGGTATGGCAGAAACACTGCCCAATTTTAAGACACTACAATGAAGAAGACAGTGTGGTACTGGCTGAAGGACAGACACATAGATTAATGAAACAGAACAGGGAACCTAGAAATAAACCCACCCAAACAGACCCAACAGACTTTTAACAAATGTGCAGAAGTAATTCAATTCAGAAAGGATAGCTGTTTTGTTTGTTGTTGTTTTCAACAAATGGTGTTGAAGCAATTGGATACTGATAGGAAAACAAAAACAAAAACATGGACCTAAGTTGCACACCTTGTACAAAAATTAACTGAAAATGAATCATGGATTCAAAATAAGAAACTATAAAACTGTTAGGAAAAAACACAGAAGAAAATCTTTGGGACCTAGGGCTAGGTAAAGAGTTCTGAGACATGACAACTACAGCATATTCCATAAAGGAAAGATACTGTCAACGTGGACTTCAGCAAAATTAAAAACTTTTGCTCTGCAAAAGACATCCTTTGAACATTTCAGTATATAATGGCAAGCCAAACATTCAAAAGATACATTTATCTTGAGGGGATCTCCCTGGATATAAAAAGAGATTGGACAAAAGAGCACAGAGCTGAAAGGTTCTATTATTGAATTTGGAACCCAGTTCATGAAATGAACAACAGAATAAGGCAGACCACATCACCACCATAATGGAACTATGACAAAACAAACAAAAAAAACTGCAGATGATATCAATTTCCCCCCGAAGCACTCCACAAACTTAAAGTAGACTGTAAGCCACCACCGCAAATGGAATATTCAAACAAGGAGGAATAATGATTAAACAAACATCCTGAAGAAAAACAAATACTAAGAAATAAAAGGACTCAGGCTAAAACTAAAAGGATGAAAAAAGATGTACTAAGCTAACATTAATCAAAAGAAAGAAACAAGAAATATTATCAGAGATAAAGGTGGTCATTTATTAATGATAAGGGGTAAATTAATCAAGGATGTAACAATCCTAAATGCATATGCACCTAACAATATGGGCTCAAAACACAACCTTTAGCAAAAGGAGAAATAGAAATTTCCAGTTTTGGTTGAAGACTTCAACACTTCTCACAGTAACTGATAAAACATTGAGAAAGAAAAGGATATAGAAGGCCTGAATGATGCCATCAAATGCCTTGCTCTAATACAGAACACTCCTAACAGCAGAATACACATTTTTTTCAAGCATATATGGAGTATTCATCAAGACAGATCACGTTCTCAAGCATTAAACAAACCTCAACAAACTTAAAAGAACGAAAAATATGTTTTCAGACCACAGTGGATTTAAACTAGAAATCAACTGCAGAAAGATATTTGGAAAATTCCCAAGTATTTGGAAATCAAACATATCTAAATAATTCATTTAAGAGGGATCCATAAGACAGAAAATTCTATGGAACAAAATGAAGGCACAGCATATCAAAATTTGTGGAAAGTGGCTTAAGCAGTACTGAGAAGGAAATGTATAACATTAAATGTTTATTTTAGAAAAGAATGACCTCCATAATCTAAGCTTCCACTTATGAAACTACAAACTATCATCCAAGAAAACATTCCAGAAATAAAGAAGTGACTCTACACATTAAAAGGATCCACAGGAAAAACATGGAAAAATCAATTCTGACACATATACCAGTGAAAATATTAGACAAACATTCAGGGCCTCTAGACAAACTGCTTAAATAAACTTACAAGAGCAAGATAATTAGACTGGCATCAGATTTCTCAAAAACATACAAAGCAAGTCAACAGTAGGAAGCATTTTTAATAAATTTAAAGGAGACCTAAAACTAGAGAACATTTAGAAGAAAGCAAGTGAAAACGCTTCAGGACATTGGATTTGGCAATGATCTTCAATATGATACCAAAAGCACAGGCAAGAAAAGTAAAAAGAGAAAATGAACTACATTAAAATTTTAAAAACTTCTGTGCAATGGATGCAATCATGTGAAAAGACAACAAATGGGAGAAAATATCTGCAAATCAAACATCTGATATATGTGTATATGAAGAATGAAGAACTCCTACAATCCAACAACAAAAATTAATCTGATTTAAAAAATGGGCAAAGGACCCGAATAGACTTTTCTCCAAAGATGATATACAAATGGCCAACATACATATGAAAAGATGCTCCACACCACTAATCATTACGGAAATGCAAATCAAAACACAATGAGATTATTACCTCACACCCATTAGGATGGCTGCTAAAAAAAAAAAAAAAAAATCCCCGAAGACCCAACCACCACCAGCAAATAACAAGAGTTGGCAAGGATTTGGACAAATTGAGATCTTTGTATGTTGTTGATGGGAATTGGGTAAAATGGTACAGTCACTATGGAAAACAGTATGATGCTTCTTAAAAAATTAAAAATCACCACATGAACCAACAATCCAACTTCTGGGTATATATCCAAAAGAGCCAAAGACAGGGTCTCAAAGAGATCTGTATACTCACATTCACACTAGCATTATTTACAATAGCCAAAAGTTGGAAGGTACCCAAGTATCCATCAGTGGATGAATGGATAAACAAAATATGGTATATACAAGTACTATTCACCATGAAAAAGGAAGGTGATTCTGACACATGCGATAACATGAATGAACCTCGAAGACTTTATGCTAAGTGAAGTAAGTCAGACACAAAAGGACAAATAACTATATGACTGCACTTATATGAGGTATCTTGAATAGTCAAACTCATACTAACATAAAGTTGAATAGTGGCTGAGGGGAGGAGGAAATATAGTTGTTATTTACCAGATATAGTTTCAGTTTTGCAAGATGAAAAAGTTCTATAATAGAAATCTGTTGCACAACAATGTGAATACACTTAACACTCCTGAATTGCACACTTAGGAATTTAAAACGGTAAATTTTGGCCAGGTGCGGTGGCTCACGTCTGTAATCCCACCATTTTGGGAGGCCGAGGTGGTGGATCACAAGGTCATGAGACCAAGACCATCCTAACACGGTGAAACGTCGGGTGTGGTGGCACGCGTCTGTAGCCCCAGCTACTTGGGAGGCTGAGGCAGGAGAATCGCTTGAACCCAGGAGGTGGAGGTTGGAGTGAGCCAAGATCGCACCACTGCACTCCAGCCTGGGCAACGGCGCGTGGCTCCGTCTCAAAAAATAAAAAAAAGTTAAAATGGTAAATTTTATGTGTATTGAAAAATTAATTTTTTTAAAGAAAATCAAAGATTTTATACCTAGCCAAGCAATATTTAATGTGTTCAGAATGAAAAAACAGTAAGTTTTTAATGTGCCCTTCCTGAGGACTCTATTAGAGGATGAGCTTTATCCAACCAAGACCTGACTGTGGAAAATTGGGCAAAAGGATTAATGGTGAATATTTCATATAATTTGTGAGATAGAGAAACTCTGGATGTGGGACCCAGGAATCAATATTTTTAAATTTCCCAGATGACTCCAGTGTACCCAAAGTTTAGAAACACTTGTACTTCCTTCTTCTACTGTCATTTATTGCAATTCTTATTCAATTTCATTCTCTTTGGCAGTGTAAACGTTTGTTTTTGTCTGTGTTCCCACTGCCCTACATTTTATAATAATAGGGATATCTTTATTCCAATAGTAACACAATCCTAAAAACAGAAAGACAATGATGGGGTAGAAAATACATGAGCGATAGGGACAGAAAGACCTAGGTTTGAATCTCTGACTCTGCCACTCACTGTATGGCTATGAGCAAGCCATTTACCTGAATCTCAATCATCTATGCAAGATGCAGGTGATATCATCTATTCAGTATGGTATGACTGTTTTATTAGGAATACGTGCCCAATAGCTGATTGCTACTATTGTTAACAAAAACAGTACAGGAAATGTTTACACTAACAAAGCACATGAAGTATGCTTGGAATATACCAAAAAATGTTATAAATTCGATGTAAAAGCATATGGAAGGCTACAAAACCCATACCTGCTCCCCTGGCTGTTGAGGACTAGCAGTTGTGGGCTGCTGAGGTTGTTGTGGTGTAAACTGGGAGAGCTGCTGTTGCTGCTGCTGCAGAGTGTTAAAAATAAGTGAACCACCTGGAAGCTATTAAGAATTTAAACAAAAATTAACCAATCTCATATGATTTTATATCAAATATTTAAATTTCTTTATTCTACAAATATTTTTGGATCATTTGCTATGTGTCACTCTTATAGTTGAGGAAACAGGTGAACAAAAAAAAAGTTGGCTGCCCTTAAAATAAAGACCTATTTAGATACAATTTTAAAATCCTATTACTTTGGGCTGTCAAGTATGTTAATACCCTTAAACAATAAATTTTTCTGCTTCAAGCTAGTAGTTAGCTATCCCAATTCACATGCTATTTTTTATTTCACTCTTTTTATACATCAATACGAAAGAGCATTAAATACATTAGAAAGTACAAACAAACAGCTTATGAATCAGAAATGTATACTGTGAAAAGCCACCCCTCATAAATTGGTTCTAGTTTTGCCAAAAACACAAAAATACTATACAAGATCTTTTATATAAAACAGTGAGGAATTTCAAAGTTGAAAAAAAAGTGCATTTAGTTGTCCATATTTATTTTGGAAACCACTACTTTCTCTTTCATTCAAATCTAATTCGAATTTAATTAATCCAAATATAAAAACAATTTTTAAAGAAGCACTCAGAAAACTCCAGGTTAAAAAGGAAAACAATGTTTGTCAAATGCACCAAAAAACAAATAGTTTTTCCGTTTTAAGCTATAGGAGTTTATATATGGACCACTTTGAGGTCCTTAGGAGAATGTCCAAGAAAATACCAAATACAGAACTCTTAGGTTCTATATAGTCCAAAAAAAAAAAAAAAAAAAATCCTTGGGTCAAAATATCTATCTACATCCATCACAGCTCATCATTAGGTAAACATGGATACAGCACAGATCAAATGTTCCTTCCTCAATCAGTGTATAGTAAATGTAGAAATATATAACAAACTAAAGGATTTCCATTCCTGTTAACACTGAGACTGATCCCTAAGAAAACTTCAACAGCAATATACCGGAAGGTAGGCTAAATAAACAAATGCAATTTGTGGGCTTGTCCATACTATAAGTATATTGGTCTGCAATTAGTCTGCAAACATATTGCATCGTGTATAGGAAATAAGTTTTAAATTTTAGCTCTAATGAGAATTTCCGGATTTGTTAATCCTGAATACCAGGGTGGCTGATCTGTTATTGTTATTTCCCATCAATCCATAGCTCTACTACATTACATATCCAGATCTTTATATTCACGTCTATCCATTTTCCAAACTACTAGCTTAAAGTTTACTCCTTCTTTAAATTAGAGGACCTAGCATAACACTAGGAATGTTGTAAATTCACCCCCTCTTTTTTTTTCTTTTGAGACAGGATCTCACTCTGTTGCCTAGGCCGGAATGCAGTGGCGCAATGTCAGCTCACTGCAGCCTCAACTTCCTGGCCTTAAGTGATCCTCTGACCTCAGCCTCTCGAGTAGCGGGGATTACAGATGCATGCTACCATGCTTGGCTAATTTTTTGTAGTGATGGGGTTTTACCATACTGCCCAGGCTGGTCTCGAACTCCTGAGCTCAAGCAATCCTCCCACCTGGGTCTCCCAAAGTGGTGGGATTCTAGGTGTGAGCCACCGCGTACTGCACACATACCTATTTTTTAAATCTCCTTCAAGCACAAAAAACAGTATTACTTCTATGCATACAAAAAACATCTGTTGGGAAAGCAATTATTTTCTAAATCTGTCCACTATTATTATTGTAGTGAAGTATCCTCCTTGGTAGGTGCAAATTCTCCCCACTGGCACAGCTAGTTCTTAATTAGGCAGGGCTACTGGAGCCAAAGTGTGGCATATAAGGTACTGATTCTTCCTTTTTATCCACTTGATCATACAAAGGTAGCAATAATAACCACACCCTTAGAAGAATCTAAACAGACCTCAGAATTTCAAGTGCTAATACATATAGATATACATTGTTTAGAAAAAAATTCAATGTACAAACAATTTAATCAAAAGCAGGATTTCAGGTTTACCTGGAGTAGATTTAAGGGCCTGAGACTTGAAGTATTTTTTAAACCAAATGGAACACCTGTTAAATAAAACTCATGGTTATAACAGAATTGGAAGTTTATTACACATGAAAATAATTTATACTTCAGTATATATCTAAGTACAATAATTTTATGTACTCTCTGCATAGATGTGCGTATTTTCCATACTTCAGAAGTATCAATACTGAGATTTTATTCAAAGTTGTGAAGCACCAGGTGTACATTATAGTCTATCTTTCAGAAACTGGGACTTCTTTTTCATTCTTCTGACTGTTGGCTGAACAAACAGTAATCAAGAATTATGAGAACACCATGAATATAACAAAACTATCACTGCTGTGCAAATACATTCCAGGTACTGGCATCTATTTACATTTCTCAGTGTTACATAGTATACTAAAATAATCATATCTTTAAGAACTGGTATGCTCTATGCTATTTTTTTTTTAACTACAAATGTTAATCAGAATGCTAAAGAATGTTGCAATTTGTGTATAAGATCAAAACTGAGAGTCAGGAAACAGTGCTCTGTTAATTCTAAACATAATCCTAAAAAATCTGTTACATAACACAGAGCATATCTTAAAGCTTGGGGGTGACAAACTTTTTCAGTAAAGGGCCATCATGTAGGCTTTGTGAGCACAAATGGCCTCTGCTGCATTTTCTTTTCACAATCCTTTAAAAATGTAGTAACCATTCCTAGCTTAGGCTGTGTGCTGTAGCGTGCTGATCCTGGTCTCATGATATGCAAATATTCTGCTAACAAAATACACCAATCTGAACACTATTTAAAAATGTATCTAGTTCTCTATCAGATCATTTTTTAAAAAAAATATTTAAGGCAAGAAATGCACATGTAATATTAGCAAAGCCTTGTATAAGAAACTGAAATTTGGCAAAAATATCCCTTTCTGGAAAAATTCTCATTTAAGAAAATGGCTTAACCCCCATTTAAAACTGGATGACATCTGTATAATGCCTTCTAGCTTACCAAAGTCACTTTCATACTTCATTTATTTCTCTTAAGTACCAACTGAAGATATTTTTATTCCCACTTTAGAGCGAACTGAACTGAGGCTAAGGGGGAAAAATTTAGTGACTTCTGTAAAGCCCCAGTTTAGCAAGTGAAGCCACATGTAACTGGTACAACTAGTAGTTACATGTAAATATCCTAAATTCAGGATGTGAAGTCCATTTCAGGACTTCTGACACTAAAGCACACTTATGCTTATTAAAATAAGAACACTAGGCCGGGGGTGGTGGCTCACACCTGTAATCCCAGCACTTTGGGAGGCCGAGGCAGGTGGATCACGAGGTCAGGAGATCGAGACCATCCTGGCTAACACGGTGAAACCCCGTCTCTACTAAAAATACAAAAAAAATTAGCCAGGCGTGGTGGCGGGCGCCTGAGGTGGGAGAATGGCGTTAACCTGGGAGGCGGCGGAGCTTGCAGTGAGCGGAGATCGCGCCACTGCACTCCAGCCTGGGCGACAGAGCGAGACTCTGTCTCCAAAAACAAAACAAAACAAAAAAATAACACCACTAGCTAGAATTAGGAAATTACAGCAACATGTTAATATGTTGAATTGTATTTTCTGGGTTCCCTTTCTCATAACTAAGAAAGTTTTTAATGAATTTTTCTACATTGTTTTTCCTATTAAATTTTTCCTCAAGTGAAACTGAATTGTTTCAAGATATTATAATACATTCTTTTAAAGAGCATCAAAAAAATAAGCACAAGTTATTATTATAACTGTTTTCCTGTACAGGTAATAACTACTCTTCGACAGAGCGAGACTCCGTCTCAAAAAAAAAAAAAAAAAAAGAATGCTTATCATGTCTCAGGCACAGTTTAAGCACATAATCTGTATTATATTTAATTTAATCCTCATGACTATAAGGTAAGTTATTATTGCTATTTCCATTTTATTTATGAGGAAAATTAGACACAAAGGTAACTTTCTCAATATTACACAAACGATAAGTTGTACAACTGGGATTCAAGCTGAGGTAGTTTGGCCCCAGAATCCAGGCTCTTAACTGCGATGCAGATGCCTCTTGTGCACAATGTGTATTTTCAAAATACATTAATATTCCCTGGAATATAACTACAATGACAATAAGGCTACCAAAATTAATTCTATTATTTGGAAAGCAAAAGAAACATTTGCACAGACTCACAGGCTTACCAAGTTTTCCAAAGTTGATTGCTAGATGGCTTTTAATTCAAATGCCAGAACTTTAAAGGCTTTTGAAATGAAACACATGTGATACTATACTTCATGAAATAATGACATTAAATGCCTTTAGCATCATTCTTAAAATTACATTTTTACTTTAGCATATACTTTAATTTTTTTTTTTAGAGGTTATTATTTCCAACATTCTGACCTGCTTGAGAAGCTGCCTGCATTGCACTGGGCAATGCATTTGGTAGCAGACCTCCTGAGGGTAGAAGGCCGCTCAGGTTTATTCCTGCAGGAGTTATGGCACCTGTGTTACAGCCCAGCATGGGGTTTGAACCACTCATCAAAGCCTGGGCCCCACTGCAGGAGAATAAGACAAAGCATTAAACTTCACTGTAAAAGGGAAAAAGTCAGCCACATAATTCCTCAGATTAAAAAACAAAACTACTAAGCAAACACAACTAGTTCTTTATTGGTCTTAAATATCAAAGGCAATGCAGAAGATAAACAGGAAATTCTAAGCTGCTGTCAAGATGAAGTATCAAAAAACAAAAACAGTAAGATGAGGTATCATCTTAGTGCAGTTAACAGATATATTATTTAAAATTAAAACACACACGGTCAGGCAACTTCTGTCCATATTTAAACTATTGCCTTTCAGTCTGAGTAATAGGCAGTTTGTTCTTCATTTCACAAATTAAGAATTTTAGATGGTGAAACTATCTTTAAAAAAAAAAAAAAATCAGAACATCAATGCAAACTTACCAAACAGAGCCCACTACATTGATGAAGTTAAGTCCAGCAGAGTTTGCCATGACCTGGGTGGCCGTGGTTCCTGGAGTTATAGATGTTACCATGGTGGAAAGAGGAATGGTTGTTACAGGCATTGCCTGGCTCAGAGACCTTTGCTGCTGAGCAAACTGAGTTAACAAAGTGGGCTGAGGGGTGAAGCCTGAATCTTGGGGAGTAGGGGTAGCTGAAGGGGTACTAGGAGTTGAGCTCTGAGCATCAGGAGGGTGTGGGGTCGATGAAGGGGTTGGTGTAGGAGTAGATGGCTTAGGAGTTCCAGATCCTGCTCATTGAGAAAAATAAAAATTGCTAGTTTGTTATAAATGGCCAGTCCTTTTAAAATAAGGTTAATGGAATCTTACTTAGCACTGACAATTTGTTCTAGTTTTTTTTTTTAAAGCAGTTAACTGCAAGTGTTAATTTCTACACATGATACATGAGTGTTGCTACACTCAATTACAATTAAGGATGCAGTATATCACCTAAAAAGCCCATTAAAGATGCTATTGCAGTAACAGTAAAAATATACAGTTATATTCTACCACAATACCCATTTAAAAGTTAGTTTCCTACATGCTGCCTTTGGCCTAAAAAGTTCAAAAGGAATTCAAATTAATTTATTATTTACGATTTACTAATTCATGACTTCATTTAAAAATATTGCTTATTTAGTGTAAAAGTCTGAGATAAACTGTGAACATATTTAATAAGTTACATATGGTTAACAATCATATTTGGCACCTAAATATACATGTTTAATTCCTAACACATCAAGTTTATCCTGACAAACAAATTTACAAAAAACAGTAATAAAGTAAATGTCTGATAGATAATACTGCATCTTTAACAGTAACTGTGTACTTCTGTTTAAATGTAGAATGTATAGAAAATCTGTTGTGAATGAAGTATGCACAGTTTATCAATATTTTAAAAAACAAAAACAAAAAACAAAAACCAAAAAAGTAAAACCAAAAGCTCTTGAGGTGTTTTCTTTTTTAGCTTTCATGTCCTGCAGAAAGAAAGGAAAGAAATGTGAATGTCCAGAAGCTGTCACTCAACCCTTACTTAAAGTAACAACTGTGTGCAGTAGATTACCATAATCCATACCCACAACATAAGAAGTGTGAATAAGACTTTCAGAAAATTTATATATTTTTCTTTGTGCAAAACAAGAAGGCAGAAAAATTACACCTTTTGAGCTATCAAGATGAAGATGTTTCTATCTAATGCGAAGACCGCCCTATCACTGTGCAGTGTACTAAAACTTTCAGCATATATTAAGCTAGCTACAAAAAATCTAAAAAACTGGAATGACTTTTTCCCCCACATTGGTACTTTCAGATATTTACTAATTTGAAGAAATTCTCCCAAACTAATGCTAGCATTCTTGTATAACTCTTCTTGATGTTAAAAAAAAAAAAGTATTCAGTAGTAAAAATTACATTTCAGTATCTTCAGAATAATGCTTTATGATCATCATCACATTTTAGTAACTGACAACAATTTATAAAAGAGTGTAGGAGTGTTTTTGAAATATTGTTTTTCAGTTTATTGTATCACCACCTTGGAACTAGTTGACTTCTTACATATACACAAAGATAGGACCTGCAGCAACAACTCTTATGACATTTTTTTCATATCAGCCACACAATTTACATAAATATGTAAAATGATCCTAGGGTACACTGGAATAAAAAATATTTTGAAATCTTATTGCCACATGTAACTACCAGGTTATTTTTTTAAGGAGATGTGTAGGTTGTAAGTCTATAAGAAAGGTATACGCAGAACGCATACATAGATACAGAAAAACAAGTACAATTACAGTAGAGACATAATACATACAATCAACAAGAGCTCTGCCTGAAGCTTCTAGCAACTTATACATTTTGGGTACACAGTACATTCAGATATCACTACTTCACAAGTTGAAAAAAGCTGTCTTAAGAAACACTAATGCAAAAGCTTATGAAGATTTAATGAAGAATTTAAGTTATGACTCACTTTGTGATGAGCTGGCAGGTGATAGGGCAGCTGGAGAAAGCATGCTAACTTGATTGAGATCCACAGATGATTTCCGAGGAATACTTGATGGCTTAGAAGAAGGAGGAGGAGTTGGAGATTTGAGAAAGCTGCTTGTCTGTTGTGGCGTAAAATAGTTACCTAGAAGAACATAAAAGTTATTTCCTAAATTTATAATTCAAAATTCTGTGAACTGTAGAAATCAAAATGGGGCAAAGTTTTAAAAAGAGATTAGGACTCTATAATGTTTGTTATTCTAGACTGCAAAAAACTAAGAAATGTAATACCTGAGGAACTATTTCCTGAGCTTGAGGGCAGTTTGATTGGTGGGGGTCGATGTTTTACGCCCTTCCCCAGTACTGAAGACTGAACTGACACAGTTTCAGTTTGCTAAAAGACAGTGACATTAAGCATACTTGTTAAAATTAATCCTGCTATAAACCCCAGATGAAATGTATATTTAACTTCATAGTTTATTAAATAAAATTAGTACTGCTATAAAACCCAGATTTTTAACTCTGCAAAGTGCTCTCAGTGGTTACAGATTGAATACTGTATGTATTACAAAGAAAATTTCACATGAGACCCATGAAATATATATTACAGTACACATAAAGAATGAGGAAAAGATTTCTGAGTAATAGGGTGGGAAGTGAGAGTTTTAGGGAGAAAGGCAGAGGAGTAAGATGAAAGCAAAGCTTCCACCCTTCCATACCTATCTATTAAAGGAAAATAATAGCTGTTGAAGCCAAATGACTAGAACACAGGTGTTCATTATAATTTTCCTTTTATCTTTGTGTACATTTAAAAATTATGTCATAAAGAAATTTTAAAAAAAGGTAAAAGTAAAAACAAAACTAAATAATACTGCTGCTCCTCAAAAACTGATTCTTTTTTTTTTTTTTAAGATGGATTCTCGCTCGATTGCCCAGACTGGAGTGCAGTGGTGCTATCTCGGCTCACTGTAACCTCCACCTCCAGGGTTCAAGAGATTCTCCTGTCTCAGCTTCCCGAATGGCTGGGATTACAGGTGTGCGCCACCATGCCCAGCTAATTTTTGTATTTTTAGTAGATACGGGGTTTCACCATATTGGTCAGGCTGGTCTCAAACTCCCGACCTCAGGTGATCCACCCACCTCAGCCTCCCAAAGTGTTGGGATTACAGGCATGAGCCACTGTGCCCAGCCTCAAAAAATGATTCTTAACATTTCTCAGATTACTTGTGAAACAACTGGGCACAAAGAAGTAACATTAACAAAACACACTTCTGTTTCTTTCCCTGGAGAAACCTGACTCAGACTGGCTGAGCCACTGGAGCTGTGTGACATCTTGACCGGACATTTGGCTTCATTCTGGACTAATTCTTGGTACTGATTGACTACCCTAAAATATCAGGAGAAAACAGGTAAAGATTAGATAACCTGTTTTAAACACGAATTTATTTTATAGGAAATAATGACAATTAATGGCAAAAAGAAAGTTCTATCAATATAAAAATTAAAATTAGGTGATTTATCTTTGTGTTAAAAGTACATATTTTTAAACTGTTCAATGACAAATTGTCCAAAACATTTTGCTAAATAACAATCTAAAGATATACTTTCAATATCTTATTTCTAATACAGAAATTGCAGGGATTACTTAAGTAATAAGCAGCCAAAGAAAATACTCAATTCCTTTCTTAGATTCTGATTAAAGTACTATCTAGAAATCATCTTCCTTAGCTACACTAGATATGTCTAAGTTTTCTTATTTAAAACGAAACTATATTTTAAACATTTTTTTTTGTTGTTTTCTTAATTCTGTGAAAAAAAATCCTAGGTATTATAAACATTGGAAAAATGCATTTAAGTTCCCCCAAAATCTCATCCCATGAAAAGAACCATTCTTAATAGTTTGGCGTATCACAAGCTTTCATTTTTCTAGAATCAATAAGATTTTAAAGTTGGAAAAGACCTTAGAGGTTTTACTGTCCAATGCCCTAATTTTACAACAGAGGCCCATAAATATTAAACAGTGTAAATATGGTTAATAGCATAACCAAAATCAATGTTTTTAACTCCTAGTAAAGTACTCTCTATCCTATAAGGATGAAAAATTTTTCATATCCATCCTGACCAAAATAGAGATGCAAATATTTTCACCTCTCGGCATCGGTCTTTGATCCAATAACGAACCTAAAATGTTTAAGGAAAAAAAAGGAGAGAAAAGTATTAGCTAAGAGTTGTCTTAAGAAGCCTTGGATTACTTTTGAAATCTTCCATGTTTTAGTCACAATAATATAAACTGGTATTAAATCTACCAAGATATGGAAACAAAATTTTTTAATGCATTTACACATATGAAACAATGACGAAGTTTTGCATGCATTATGAAACAATGTGAATAATTTGGTTGATTTAATTAAGGGATATTTCTTTTGGCACAAAATTTATTTATTAAAACATAATCTGGGTTGAAAGTTACCAAGTACTATATACCCTTACAACTATTGACCCTAAAGCAAAATCACTGAACTACCATGTGGAAAGGTCTTTGGCCTTCCTCTCACTTTAACCTGTGATTTTACAATTAAATGTCTACATAACAGATCCTTAGAATATATTTCAAACAAGGTATACATATTTATCACCGATTCAAATAAAATATCTTTAGCAAGTCTTTTTAAAGAGTTTGATATTTACATAATTTCTTAACAGATTAAAATAGTTTATTTTTTAATTACCAATTTGAATGATCATCTGTGGAGGAGCTGAAATATAAAATGTAAAAAAAAGCTTAGTTAATGCAGCTCAAACTTTAACTCCATAGTTTATTCAATAAAATATTTATGAGTATGGAAGAATGACTGGAAAATAATAAATCGTGCAGCTACTCTGACGCAAAGGTAAAAAATTCAATTCTCTTCCTGTCAAACAAATTAGTCATTTGGCTCTATAGACCATTTTTTTCACAAAAGAACATGTATCACCCTTGTGTTCTACAAAAATAAGTTAATAAATTAAAAATGGCCAATATATGTTGTCTTTAAGTTGAAGATTTTTTTAAATATAAGTAATCAATATTGGGTACTATATTCACTACCTGGGTGATGGGATCAGTAGACACCCACACCTTAGCATCATACAATATACCTCTGTAACAAACCTGCACACATAACCCCTATAGCTAAAATAAAAATAAAGAAAAAAAAATGGCTTCCTCAGAAATGCATGCTGAGGATCAGAAATAAACTGTTATGATGTCTATAACTTTAAAAAAAAAGAAGAAAATGCATGTAATCAAAACATCTGATCCTTTTACAACAATAAAAACTGGTCATGTGAAAAAAGAAGCTGAGGATTCCCTGTTATTTCCTTTCATTGACTTTTACCTAAATATTGGTGGGGTTGCTCTTTAAAATACACCTTTCTACTGTAGATTCAATTAGTATTTTGTGTAAGTAAAGGCTTTACAATTAACATAGACCTGGCCCCGTCCTTTTCTGCTGAGCTTTTTTCGTTTTTTCAAAACAGCATCAATTTGATTTAAAAAACCAAACATAGTAAAACAAAATAAAACTAAATACTGACAGTACCAAATATATGTAGTTCACACATTTTGGAAGATCATCTATATTTTTATGTATTAATATGTAGGGTCAATAACTACAATAAGCACTGAGTCTGTGTCCTTACATGCAGTGCCAAATACCAAGCATCTTTTTACATTTATGGTAAACTTGCTTCCTATTTAAACACACTATTGCCCAAACACTTCATGTTCACAGGTTAAAGTCCTAAGTGCCATAAATATATAAAGAAAGATATCACAGGAATAGCCTTCAAAACAAGCATAAAAATAATTATACCATAGGTTTTTTTGCTATTTAATAACTCTTGAGCAACATGGTAACTATGACTTAAGTTTACCTAGGTCTACTAATAAGTTATTAGGTCTACTAATAAGTTTACTTAGGTCTAACTAATAAATGAGTTCCAAAGAGAAATTTTTATTCATTAATGGTTCATCAGTAGTTACTAGATAAATTCTTGGTGCCTTATTTTTTTTTTTTCAGTTACTTGTATTTAACAGAACTCACTGTGATGGAGACATCTGGCTGTCACTTTCTTCATCTGCTTTACATGGCTGTATTTTACCATAGTAAAGTGGATCTCCAAGCGACTGCAAGATGGTCAGCTTTGTTTTCTGATACTGAGTACCAGTTTCACATTCAAATACATAATCATCTTTTACGTCCTGAAAAACACATAGCACCTCAAATAAATATCTTCACAAGTAGGCAGGCATTAAGAATTAGTAAAAATTAGGAATAAATGATACAGTAACATGTATCTGACGATAGGAAGACACATGGTACTTAGGCTAAAAGATGTTTAAGTCTGCCTACCAGAATAAAGCACAGCATGGCTCTTTTCCTAAAAACTGTATGGGCACTCAGCATGCATTTAATAAAGCATTAACATACACTACGAAATATGAACTTATATGTAACAATATTAATACATCATTAAACACATTATTAGACATATTAATATACATACTGGAAATAATAACAATGAACATTAAACACTGTTCTCAGCACTCTACAGGGACTGCCTCAAGTAAGCTTCATCATATTTTTATGGTTGGCACTGTTATTATCTCCATATTAGAAGTCAGGGAATTAAGCAGAGAGGTTAAATGAATTGCCTAGGGTCACACAGGGAGTTAGCAGTCTGTCCCTAAGCTAGCACCCCTGATCCTCATGCTGCCGTGCCTGTTTATGCTCAGGAGGGCAGTACAGGATTATTTTTTACATGGTACTCTCGGAAGGAGAATTCTGATGGCATGTTTAATCAAGCTTAGTATGGCAGAATTTCAGACTAGACATATGAATTGCAAATATTAAATAATATTAAAAGGATAGAACTTTCAAAAGCAGATCTGTTTCTATTTACCATTTGTCTGCTTTTGCTATCACACACACAAAACATCTCTCGTCATTTCACTCCTAGGGTTCACCTAATTTAAATATTATGCCTATTTCTGTCTTTTTAAGACGTTATTATTCCAATTAGGAAACTTACAAAAAGGTATCCTTAGAAGAATGTATTAATTTGAAACAAAACAAAACAGAACTACCAATATGCAAACCAAAAGTAAAAAAGAAGTTCTTCATTAAAATTGCTCTTTAAGGCCAGGCGCAGTGGCTCATGCCTGTAATACCAGCACTTTGGGAGGCCAAGGTGGGCGGATCACATGAGATCGGGGGTTCGAGACCAGCCATCTCTACTAAAAATACAAAAATTAGCCAGGTATGGTGGCGGGTGCCTGTAATCCCAGCAACTCAGGAGGCTGAGGCAGGAGAATTGCGTGAACCTGGGAAGTGGAGGAGGTTGCAGTGAGCCACGATCGCACCACTGCACTCCAGTCTGGGCGATAAGTGCCAAACACCATCTCAAAAAAATAAAATAAAATAAATAAAAATTTAAAAAATTTAAAAATAAAAAATTGCTGTTTAAAATGCAAAGCATACTTTGATGAACAAAATAGTTGTTTCTTCATGTAATAAACTGAACTTCCAGAAAGTAATTTATAAAAGAAAAAAGGTCCCAAACTAATGGCAACTGCACTTTATGTTTAATAAATTCAGAGGCCAGATTAGAAATGGCATAATTAGACACAGAGACAGGCAATGATTACTTACATGGGCTGGCCAGACTGTTGGCTGTGAGTCATCAGATTTGATAGACTTTTCCACTTTAGCATATTTCTCCACCTAAACAATCAAATCAAGAAATACCACATAAAATAGAATCCATATCAGATAAAATGGAATCAGTACTCTGATCAAAGAGAAGAAACTAAGTAACTCGACAATACAATATACTTGTTAGCGCAAGAATTCTTAAATCACCAGTACCAACTACTTACGCTTAAGTAGTTTAAAAGTCTTCTGATGTGTATAAAACAACTTTAATAAAACCAAACTAATTAAATGTTAATAAACATAGCTGCTTTTCTAGACAGTGCCTCTTCATTTTTTTGTCCATAAGCTGGTATGTTTTTTCCTTTAGAGCTTTTCCTTCAGGAAAACTGGAATGTCAGAGAGATAAGGATCAGGATCTTTTCCTTTTGGCAGGGCTTTTCTTGAAATAAGAGCTGTCATGTAACAGTGGCAACAAAACTAAGGGAGACTATGGAAGGTAAAATGTTAAAGCTGATCAAATTTTTTGAACCTTTTCCACTTTCTAGTCAAACTTGACCTCATATTCTGTACATGTCCTAGGTATCTGTGTGAGTCAAATGTTATTATCTTACTGGCAACTATGATCTTAAGAGTCATTTAGACTTATCTGGGGCACTTACTAAAAATACAGATTTTCATGTCTGTCCTTAGAAATCCTAAGTACGTAGATCTTGAGTAGGGCTTGAAATCTCTTATGTTTAACTGATATCCTAGGTGATTCTTCTGATTGAGCTAGACTGAGAAGCTTTGAGGGCAACTGCTACTCAATGTGTGGTCCATGGACCTCAGCATCGCATAACCTAGGAGCTTGTGAGAACTGCATCTTATGCCTCAGACCAGACTTGCTGAGTAGCAATCTACAATTTAACAAGCTCTCCAGGTGATTCCTAAGGACATTAAAGTATGGGAAGTACTCCAGCCAGTCCTCCAAAGCTAAACTCCACCCTTTAGTATTTATACTGAAATTCTATCCTCAGGCCATGTTCCTTGAAGAACTGCGCATAAGCTACCAACAGATAATATGGCTTACTTCCTTGAGTTGTATATACAGTCTACTGCTGTTTCTGGCTTTGTGCTTAGAATAATTTCTTTTTATAAAATCAGAAATAGTAAGAATAATGTATGTGCTAGCATGGAAAGGGTGCAACAGAAGAACAAATCTGAAAATAAAGAGTGAATATAAAAAAGAACAGAGGAGAAAGAAAAATAAAGGATCACTCATCAAAATATCCCTTTTCTGTCTTCAAGCATTCATATTCATGTATATTATGGATCAATAAAGAATACAACCCAACGTTCCTAATCTTGGTTACTTCTCTAGTATTATTAATCTTTATTTTTTTAAATAGTATTATTAATCTTCAAATTTAACCACTTCGAGGAAAAAAGCACTATTAGGAAATTTTGATGAAATATTATGAAAACAAGAGAGATTTCACATGATTATGTAATATACACTATATTTTTCCACATTTTAAAATTGTTTTGTTTACTATTCCTGCTCCAAACACAACTATATTAAGGGGTTATGTTTTTTCAACTTAATGTGAAAAAAGAACAATACACAGCTTCTAAAAATCATTTTTCAATGTTTTTGAAACAAATCATATTGTTTTCAAAAAAAAGACTATGATCGCCCCTTTCTCTTTCCGGTTCTAGGCGCTTCGGGAGCCATGGCTTAAGGTGCGGACATGGCAAGTCCAAGAATCACACCACACACAACCAGTCCCGAAAATGGCACAGCAATGATATCAAGAAACCCCGATCACAAAGATACAAATCTCTTAAGGGGGTGGACCCCAAGTTCCTGAGGAACATGCGCTTTGCCAAGAGGCACAACAACAAGGGCCTAAAGAAGATGCAGGCCAACAGTGTCAAGGCCATAAGTGCATGTGCCAAGACTATCAAGGCCCTTGTAAAGCCCAAGGAGGTTAAGCCCAAGCTCCCAAAGGGTGTCAGCCGCAAGCTCGGTTGAGTTGCCTACATTGCCCACCCCAAGCTTGGGAAGCATGCTCATGCTCACATTGCCAAGGGGCTCCGGCTCTGCCCACCAAAGGCCAAGGCCAATAATCAAACCAAGGTCCAGGCTGCAGCTCCAGCTTCAATTCCAGCTCAGGCTCCCAAAAGTGCCCAGACCCCTACAAAGGCTACAGAGTAGATATCTCTGTCTGCCAACGTGAGGACAGAAGGACTGGTGCGACCCCCAACCCCCGCCTCCGGGCTGCCATCTGCATGGGACTGGGGTCCTCCTGTGCTATTTGTACAAATAAACCTGAGGCAGGAAAAAAAAAAAAAAAAAAAAAGAGTATGATCTAAATCACTTTGTTTTTAAAAGAAGTTTTTTGTTGTTGTTTTCTCAAGGTATAAGCAAACGAATGGTAAAACTTAGAAACTATATGAAAAAAAAAATTCATGAACCGACTTACATCTACTTCAGAAGGTATGGCCAAATTACAGGGACTCCGTTTCCACATATCTACACACTGAAAAATTAAAAACAATATAAATATACAGAAAAAATGCTAAATAAGACAGGTTTTTGGGCATAATAAGCTTCATTTAAAAAACATATACTTACATTTCCTGCTTTAGAAATTTTGAGGTCATAATGCTGACCTGCTTTTCTTTCCTTTCTTTTTTGTAAGAAATCAAGTAACCTCAGCTGAGGAGGAGGTGGACAATGAGACAGATCTTGCTGCCGATTCAGAGAGGATCTGGAATACCGCTTGAAACACCTGAAATGTTAAGAAATCTGAACTAAGCAGCACTAATAAAAGAAGCTCGTAATATATGTGAGTTGAAACTAGTCACTGCTGAGTATGTACAAATCATGTTTATAGAACACTGCCACATGCCAAGCACAGTCCTAGGAACTACGACTAGGTGAAATAAAAATGAATAAGAACAAAATTCCCATCACCACAGGCTATCAAGTCCAGAGGGGGAGGAGACATTCACAAGTAAACAGATAAAATAATTTCAGATTTCAGATACCAAGAAGCAGTAAGATAAAAAACAGAGTACCGTGGAGAATACAGGATAAGGAGGGCAACACTAGGGCAGGGAAGTGGGAGAGGGAGGGGAGGAAAAGAGCCTGAAAAAATGACATGTGAGCTGAGACAGGAATGATGAGAAGGAACCAGCTATGGAAAGATGAAGGTGAAGGGGATAATTTCCAGTTTCGGGTACAGGCATGTAAGACTCTGGAAGTTCCCACCTCATCCTAACAAGTAAAAAGCTGAATAAACATAAAAATTAACGATTCTTCTTAGATCCATCAAAGAGATGTGGTCACAAGACAAACCACTGCCCCAAACTTGGAGAAACCAATAATGCAGACCATCATGGCTTGCTGAAGCAGAAACCCACTAGCACAAACCTCTTCAGGAACCAGTGCCAGGGTAGGGAACCTCAAGTATAACTGACCAACTGCTGGAGGCCTAGTGTGGACATGTCTGAGAGATTCAAAACTCCAGGGGGATCTAGTCACTGGGAGCCCCCACACTTTTGGGGGTTTTATCTCCAGGAGCTCAAAGAGGTTCTCACAGTGACTACTGGGGAAAAATTCCCTCATGTTTCCCATGGAGGGTGGGGAAAAGAAAATATTCTGAAAGATCAAGGAATGAGTATTTGAAGAGACATTTTTAAAAGATGCCAAGGGAGGAATAAGCTTGGTTTGTTTCAAAAACACAAGGTAGGTGTGCCTAGATTCAGTTTTTAACTAACTGACTTCTTCTATGATCATATTTTCTCAAATCTTGAAATTACAAAATCTTTCCTTAAAAGTAGGATTAACAACAATTAAATCAGTCATTTGTTATTAGGAAAATAATGAAAAAATTATTATTTCTGTTCATATTTGATCTCAGCCTCTTTACCTTTTTGGAAAACAGACTATAAACTTAGAAAAAGTTTATTCTTTAAAAGACTGCAGAAAATGCATCAGTTCAATCTGAAGCATAGAGCATTAAAAAATAATAATGCTTTACAAAAAAATATAAAATAAGACCATTAAAAATCCTATTTTCAAAAAAAAAATAATCAGAGGCTGGTGTAGTTGGTCATGCTTATAATCCCAGCTATTTGGGAAGCCAAAGTGGGAGGATCCCTTGAAGCCAAGAGTTCAAGACTAGCCTGGGCAACAAAGAGAGACCCCATCTCTGCCCTTCTCCACCAAAATCAGAGCAACCATACCCTGGAGGGAAAAGATACTATAAATAGCAAAATTTACAGCTACTTGTGTCTTTTGGTTCACCCTTCCACAAAGGCAATTACCGTTTCATTGGGCGAGTGTTCATCTTTTGCTTGTTATAGAGCAGTCTGTTTGCAGTGCAGGTGACTGCTATAGAAGGATCAAGACAGAGTGGTTCAGCTGTAGCTAGGATGAGCTGGCTCTCAAGCAGAAGTTTGTCTTCCTGAAAAGTGTAAGAGCATGTCAATACCAGATTTAAGATTTGCAAATATGTAATCATACATAGCTTAATCTAGAAATATTCCCTGGAATTCTGCTAAGAACTACAGTAAAACACGGTATTTCAGGTGCTAATGTTAGTGTGCATGCAAACGTTTAGAAACTAGACAGCATAAAGAAACTTCTAATGGAAATTCAATGCAGGTATATCTCGTTTTATTGTGGTTCACAAATATTGCACTTTTTACATACTGAAGATCTGTGGCAATTTTGCACTGAGCAAGGCTATCAGCACCATTTTCCCAACAGCACACTTATTTTGTGTCTGTGTCACATTTTGGTAATTCTTTCTGTATCTCAAACTTTTTCATTATTATTAAATATATTATGGTGATCTGTGATATTCAATGTGTACTTAATCAAGAAATGATATATGTTCTCTGACAGTTTCACCGATCCACCACACCCCAGTGTGGGATCTCCCCTGTCTTTCTCCTTCTCAGGACTCCTTACCTCTAGAAATATTATAATATTTAAATTAGGCAAAAAATGGCCTCTTAGTGTTCAAGTGAAAGGAAGAGTCATACATCTCTCATTTTAAATCCAAAGCTAGAAATGATTAAGCTTAGTGAGAAAGGCCTATAAACAGCTACAACAGTGAAAGCTAGGCCTCTTGTACCAGTTAGCCAAGTTGTGAATGTAAAGGAAAAGTTCATAAACGAAATTAAAAGCACTACTCCAGTGAACATCCATAACAGAGAGAAAAGCAAAACAGCCTTATTGCTGATACAGAGAAAGTTTAAATGATCTGGATAGAAGATCAAACTACTTGCAACATTTCCTTAAACCAAAGCCTAATCCAGAGCAAATCCCAATTCTCTTCAATTCTATGATGTGAAAGAGGTGAGGAAGCTGCAGAAGAAAAGTTTGAAGCAGAAAACTAGTTCATGAGGTTTAAGAGTAGAAGCTGTCTCCATAACACAAAAGTGGAAGGTGATGCGGCAAGTGCTGATATACAAACTGCAACAAGTTATGCAGAAGATCTAAGATACCTGATGAAGGTGTTTCAACAACAAGTTTTCAAATTAAATAAGACAGCCTGATACTAGAAGAATATGCCATCCAGAACTTTCATAGCTAGAGAGAAGTCAATGTCTGGCTTCAAAGCTTCAAAGAACAGGCTGACTCCCTTGTTGGGGGTTAATGCAGCTGGTGACTTGAAGCTGAAGCCAATGCTTATTTGGCCATTCTGAAAATCCTAGAATCCTTAAGAATTACTACTCTATCGGTGCTCTATAAATGGAACAACAAAGCCTGGATGACAGCACATCTGTTTACCACATGGTTTACTGAATATTTTAAGGCCACTACAGAGACCCACTGTTCAGAAAAAAAAAGATTCTTTCGAAAATACTACTGCTCATTAACAATGGTCTTGTCACCCAAGAGCTCTGATGAAGACACACAAGGGGTAATGTTTTCATAGCTGCTAACACAATATCCACTCTGTAGCCCATGGATCAAGGAGTAACTTTGACTTTTAAGTCTTAATATTTAAAAAATACATTTTGTAAGGCTTTAGCTGCCATAGATAGTGATTCCTCTGATGGATCTGGGCAAAGTAAATTAAAAACTTTCTGGAAAGGATTTGGCATTGTAGATGTCACGAAGAACATGCATGATTCATGGGAGGGGGTCAAAATAGAAACATTAATATGAGTTTGGGAGAAGTTTATTCCAACCTTCATGGATGACTCTGAGGGGTTCAAGACTTCAGGACAAGAAGTCACTGCAGTTGTGGTGATATAAAGAGAAATACAATTAGAAGTAGAGAGCCTGAAGATGTGACTGAATTGCTACAATCTCATGATCAAACTTGAATGGATGAGTTGCTTCTTATGGGTGACCATAGAAAGAGTTTTGTTTTTTTTTTGTTTTTTTTTTTTGAGTCAGAGTCTCCCTCTGTCACCCAGCCTAGAGTGTAATGGCGCAGTTCACTGCAACCTCCGCCTCCTGGGTTCAAGCAATTCTCCTGCCAGGTACCACCACCATGCCCGGCTAATTTTTGAATTTTTACCAGAGACAGAGTTTCACCATATTGGCCAGGCTGGTCTCGAACTCCTGACCTTGTGATCTGCCTGCTTTGGCCTCCCAAAGTCCTGGGATTATAGGCATGAGTCACTGCACCCCGCAAAAGTGGTTTCTTGAGATAGAATCTATTCCTGGCTGTGAACATTGTTGAAATGACAACATAATATTTAGACTATTACATAAACTTAGGTGATAACACAGCAGTGGCAGGGTTTTAGAGGACTGACTTCAATTCTGAAAGATATTCTACTGTAGGGTAAAACTGCATCACATGCTATAAAGAACTCTTTCATGAAAGAAATAATCGATGGGGCAAACTTCACTGTTGTCTTTTAAAAAACTGCCACTGCCATCCCAATCTGTCAGATCCTGATCTGTCAGCAGTCATTAATATCTAGGCAATACCTTCCACAAGCAAAAAGGTTATGACTCCCTGAAGGTTCAGAAGATCATTGGCATTTTTTAGCAATAAAGTATTTTTAAATTAATGTATATAAGTTGTTTTTTTAAACATAATGCTATAGCACCCTTAATAGTCTACAGTAGACTCCTGAACAACATGGATTTGAACTATGCAGGTCCATTTACACAGGAGTTTTTTTCTTTTCTTTTTTTTGAGACAGAGTCTTGCTCTGGAGTGCAGTGGTGTGATCTCAGCTCACCGCAACCTCCGCCTCCTAGGTTTACATGATTCTCCTGCCTCAGCCTCCTGAGTAGCTGGGACTACAAGCACACAACACCATGTCTGGCTAATTTTTGTATTTTTAGAGACGGGGTTTCACCGTGTTGGCCAGGATGGTCTCGATCTCTGGAAGTTGCCAAGAGAACTGGCAAGATGAACTTTTCTTCTTCCTCCTCCTCGGCCTACTCAATGTGAAGATGATGAGGATGAAGACCTTTAATATGATATACTTATTGAATAGTAAACAAATTTTCTCTTCTTATGATTTTCTTAATGTTTTCTTTTCTCTAACAATTAACTGTAAAAATACAGAGCACAATACATATAACATACAAAATACATGTTAATCACCAGGCATGGTTGCTCACATCTGTAATCCCAGTACTTTGGGAGTCCCAGGCGGGCAGATCGCTTGAGCTCAGGAGTTCGAGATCAGCCTGGGCAACATGGTGAAATCCTGTCTCTACCAAAAATAAAAATAATTAGCTGGGCATGGTGGCATGCACCTATAGTCCCAGCTACTCAGGAGGCTGAGGTGGGAGGATCACTTGAGCCTGAGAGGCAGAGGCTGCAGTGAGCTGAGACTGCCAATGCACTGCAACCTGAGTTACAACCTGACTCCGTCTCCAAAACAAAACAAAACAAAAAAACAAAATCCAGTAAGGCTTCCCAGTCAACAGTAGGCTATTAGTAAAGTATTAGAAGAGGAGTCAGAAGTTATACATGGGTTTTTGACCGCACAAAGGCCACTGCCCCTAACCTCTGTGTTGTTCAAGGTCAACTATATAGTGTAAATGTAATCTTTTTATACACTAGGAAACCAAAAAGTTCATGTGACTTGCTTTATCGCAGTATTTGCTTTACTGCAGTGCTCTGGAATCGAACCCACAATAACTCCGAGGTATGCCTATAATTTGTAGAGTATGGAATGGTCAGATTGTAAGAGTGGCTACTCATTAATTCAAGAAAGTATTTGAGCACCTATGATGTGTTAGGCACCTTTACAGGAGTTGGGGATAAAGTAGTGAGCAAAACAAAATATTCTGCTCTCACAAAACCTATAGGGTCATAAAGGGTTATGGCATTTTTTAGTAACCGTGAATAGTCCCATCCTATACTCAACTATATTACAAGAATAAAAATGACTCTGCTAATATTGAGTGAACTCTATATACCCAATTCCAAAGTACATACAGGCTCTTTACTGTTATCACATAATGTACTTTACTGAATCCTATTACTTTGCTTAACCTCTGAAATATCTTGATAGCTAAGGCTATTTTTTTAAGTGAATCAATTAATAATATTGTTAAATAATAATTTGTTAGAATTAACCAATTGCTTTCTCATGTCCATTAACTAGATCTGGCTGGTTTCTTCCTCGTTGTGTTACTTAAGAGTTTATTTCATTCACTGAATTCCTATAAACTGCTAGTTACAACTAGTGGCTTGATTTAATATGGGCTCCTTTTTTTTTTTTTTTGGACAAGAGTTCTTTATTGGTGCTATTACTACTGTTGTATGTCTCTTGCATCAAACCGGGAGGTACACAATAATTAACTGTTCCATCTTCAATCAGTGGGTTTAATCAGATTGCTACATTACAAAATTTCCCATTAACCTATCATCTAATAGTTTTCACATCCAAGAATTACTGTTGTCTAGATTCATTACTTCATTAACACTTTCAAACTTTTATTTTTCAAAAGTCTATCATTTCTTTTACACCTATTAGCTGGAAATTTTCCTAAGAATTTTCCCTCACTTACTTGGCTGCCTAAAATACAGTTCATAACAAGAAGGGCAGAATAAATATTATATTCTCTCCTTTATCAATCCTCAGAGTAAGAAACTGATGCCCTAGTATCCTCTGATGGTAACCAATGAGTTTTTCGGTTGTCTAATATTCTTTTGATAGTTTTTAATCTTTTTTCAGATGATAACATTATAGCCCAAACCAAAACACAATACTTGGTAGTTACTGATGAACTGAAGCTTATTTTATAATCACGTCACAGAAAGGATAACTATCATTACTGATATTTTCTTTTGACTTAGTAATTATTCCTCACTATAGTCACAGACAACTGAACACTTTTTTGAGTAGGCATCTCACATACAAGGGGTCTTTAAGAGTTTATGAAAAATGAGTATTAAGAAAAAACTATACATAGGTTTCAAACCTTTTTGCACCAAAATAAATATGTACTAAGCTGTTATAACATGTCTGAACAGAGCCTAGTTTGAAACACTAAGAAAGATAAGACATCAGTTTGAAAACAGCCTCTACCAGAGCAACATGAATTCTGCTAAAACTGAAGCAACAACAAACATCAAATTGATGGTGAAGCCTGAATGGAAGAATTGTGAAATCATTGACGCTTTTTCAAAGGTTTATGGGAAGCATGCCTCAAAGAAAGCAGCAGTTTACAAATGGGTAACTTGTTTTAAGAAGGGACAAGACTATGTTGAAGATGAAGCCTGCAGCAGCAGATCATCCACATCAATTTACGAGGAAAAAAATTCATTTCGTTTGTAACCTAATTGAAGAGGACCAATGATTAACAGCAGAAACAAAAGCCAACACTATAGGCATCTCAACTGGTTCAGCTTGAATAATTTTGACAGAAAAATTAAAGTTGAGTAAACTTTCCACTCGATGGGTGCCAAAACCACTGCATCCAGATCAGCTGAAAAAGCAGAGCTTTCCATGGAAATTTTCAACAAGTAGGACCAAGATACTAAAGCATTCTTTCCCGTATAATACTGAAGATAATAAAGCACAATTAAGGCAATGGCTACCAAGAGGCAGAAGTGGTTCAGTCAAAGCAAAAGCAGACAGGTGAAGAGCAGAGATCATGGAAACAGTTTTCTGGGATGCTCAAGACATTTTGCTTGTTGACTTTCTGCAGGAACAAAGAATGATAACGTGCTTATTATGAGTGTTTTGAGAAAGTTAGCCAAAGCTTCAGCAGAAAAATGCCTGGGAAAGCTTCACCAGAGTCGTTCTGTACCACAATGCCTCTGCTCATTCCTCTCATCAAAAAAGAGAAATTTTGTAAGAGTTTTGATGGGAAACCATTAGGTATCCACCTTACAGTCCAGATTTGGCTCTTTCTGACTTCTTGTTTCCTAATCTTAAAAAAAAAAAAGTTTAAAAAGTACCCATTTTTCTTCAGTTAATAATGTAAAACTGATTGCATTGATATGGTTCAGTTCCCAGGACCCTCAGTTCTTTAGGGGTGGACTAAATAAATGGTATCATTTACAAGGTTCTTGAACTTAATGGAGCTTATACTGAGAAGAAAAGTTTATATTTTTTATCTTTTAATCCCAGTTTTCCACAAACTTTCTGAAGTCCCCTCATATATCACTGAGCCAGAACTGGAGGGTTAACTGGTTATTCTTAGGGGTAAGAGAGTTCCTCTCATTTCAAGGCAACCAGTATAAATGGCAAAGAAAGATAGGCTAGGCTGGGTTAGAAACTTCAATTATTAAAAAAAAAAACCAGTATCTATTTGTAGTCAAGGTAAAAAAATTTTTCTTCTATTTGAGAGGAGATAAAGACTAAGTTTTATCTCATTGAGCATATTAGGCCAGCTTCACCCTAAAATGATCTTAGGCAACTTGAGGGATTACTACATGTATAAAGAGACCCTTAACTTCCAGATCTCATAAAGGAATACCAGCTTTTCACATAAAGCATCAAACTTAATTATTGAATAAAAATAAGCAGAAAATCACTTTTGCTTAATGATAAGTTTTTTTCATCCTATATTTTGCCTGTTTGAGATTAAAAAACAAAACAACTAACCTGGGTCCATTTATGGTTATCACTTGTTATTGAATGTACATCACAAATTAAAGTCTAGAAGAAATAAACATTTTAAAAACTCATTAATTTATGCACAAACATATGAAGACATTCGATAAATGAAACTTCCAACTAAAATCTAAAATAGTATATCTTAAACATCCTTACCTGCATTGTTGGACGTAAGAGAATGTGCCGACTTTGGTAACCAGGAGATTTCATGTTACTGGACTGCCTGTAGTCACGTATTTCTGCTATGACACATCCGCAATGAAAAATATTAACCTGTTTGGGTAAAAATATGTAAATGTCATTTTTTTTCCCAAAAGTCTAAATAAGTAGTTTATATCAAACATTTCACATCCTTTACATTCATGCAACATTTCTGGCCACTCATGTATGCACTCTTTAGTAGATTTCCTTGGTAGATTTAACACTGTGTAAACCTCTTCAGAGGAAGTATTTTATGTTCATCACTATGACACAAGAAGCAATTTAAAACTATTTAACAGTTTCTAATTATAGATTGACTTTGGCATCTACCAAGTCAATTGACTTTTGGCATTTACGTACTATTATGTTACAGATCCTTGGAACTGTTCTTGATCCTTGGAACAGTGAGCTGTTCTTCTGCAGCTCACTGGCTTACTGTTACATTTTGCTAACTTTGCCATTACTATAAAGTTTATTATTGTTATAAATTGCCAATCAACCTTGCCAGTGTTTCAGTTTCTAGATATAACTTCTATATTTGCTCTGATAAAATTTTCAGAAATAAAATCTTTGCCCTTAGCCTTTATTAATAGGAGGGAAGCTAAACATAAAATTCAAATGAAAAATAGTTTTTCAGGCTGGGCATGGTAGCTCACGCCTGTAATCCCAGCACTTTGGGAGGCCGAGGTGGGTGGATCACAAGGTCAGGAGATAGAGACCATCCTAGCTAACATGGTGAAACCCCTTCTCTACTAAAAATACAAACAAATTAGCCGGGTGTGGTGGTGAGCGCCTGTAGTCCCAGCTACTCGGGAGGCTGAGGCAGAAGAATGGCGTGACCTGGGAGGTGGAGCTTGCAGTGAGCCAAGATTGGGCCACTGCACTCCAGCCTGGGTGACACAGCGAGACTTCGTCTCAAAAAAAAAAAAAAAAAAAAAAAGGAAAAATAGTTTTTCAGTCCTTTCTATGCCCAAATGTAAGAACTGTTATCACTGAAGTATTTCTAGTTATGACTTGCCACAGTCACTCATAGTATGTTTTTCACCCATTCAAAACTTTTAGTGGGTACTGTGGTCTCCATGTTATGTCATTCTTATTGTCATTCTTTTTAATAAATATTTACTGAGCAACTACAATGCGTACTATGTGCTAGGCACTATCCAGGTACAGCTTCACAGATACAGTAGTCAGACAACATTTGCACTCAGCTGTGGGAAGACAGATAATAAACATGTAAACAGAACAAAATAATTTTAGATAGTGATGAATTCTATAAAGGAAATCAAATAGGGAAGGGTCAATCTGGATTGTATGTGCAGATAAAAACCTTAGGTTTTACCTAAGATCTGAATCACAAGAAAGGGCCAGATACATTAGGGACAGATCATTCCAGACAGAGGGAGTAACACATGAGAAGTTCTTACTGTAGGAACAAGCTTGGAGTGTTTTATTGTGGAAATGAAACAAGGATGGATGGAATGTAGTGAGTGAGGATGACATTTAGAAGATGAAGACAGGCCGGGTGCGGTGGCTCAAGCCTGTAATCCCAGCACTTTGGGAGGCCGAGACGGGCGGGTCACGAGGTCCGGAGATCGAGACCATCCTGGCTAACATGGTGAAACCCTGTCTCTACTAAAAAATACAAAAAAACTAGCCGGGCGAGGTGGCGGGCGCCTGTAGTCCCAGCTACTTGGGAGGCTGAGGCAGGAGAATGGCATAAACCCGGGAGGCGGAGCTTGCAGTGAGCCGAGATCCGGCCACTGCACTCCAGCCTGGGCGACAGAGCAAGACTCCGTCTCAAAAAAAAAAAAAAAGATGAAGACAAAGAGGAAAGCAAGGGTTTTGTTCAGAGCACTGGGCACAACCATGTATCTTAAAGAGAGATCTGGCATTTGCTGATGGACTGAATGTGGAAGGTGAGGATAGGGTCATCTGTTAGACTGAAAAGGCTGGTGATAAAACTGGTTTGGGAGGTAAAATAAAGTTCTGCTTTTGTCATGTTAAATTTGAGGAACCTATTATATATCCAAGTAAGTATGTAAGTTAGGAGCTTGGTGGAATGGCCATGGTGAGGCATATAGGCAATAGAGTAAGTAATATTTTAAAAATGCATGAAACTGGCTGAAATCATTCAGGGAGAATATTACTAAAGAAAAACAGAGGGCCAAGGACTGAACCTGAAAACACACACGTTTATGGATGGAACAGGGATTATAGTAAAAAAGACCGAAGGATTAGAGAAGGCAGAGGAAAACCAGGAAAATGATGTCTCAGAAGTCAACAGAAAGGCATTTCAAGCAGGACGTAGTTATATCCACTGATCTTTGCTAAGAGGCCAATTAAGAAGAGAACAGAAAAGTGACCAATTATTCAGTATATGGAGATCATTGGTAACTTTGACAAATGCAACCTCTGCAGAATGACGTCATGATGCCAAATGAGATGGGTGGTGGAAAGAATGGGATGTGCAAAAAAGGAAATGACTATAAATTCTTTGAGTAGCATTGCTGTCAAGAGTAACAAGAGCAGTAGTTGGAAAAGGGAGGACTTTTTTTTTTAATTTGAGACATACAGGTTAAGTATCCCTTATCTGAAGTGCTTCAGACCAGAAGCATTTTGGAGCTGGAAATATTTGCATTATACTTAGGTTAAGCAGCCCTAATCAAAAAACCTGAAATCTGAAATGTTCCAATTAGCATTTCTTTTAAGTGTCATGTCAGTGCTCAGATTTTGGAACACTGTGGATTTCATATTTTCAGATTTGAGATACTCAACCTCTAACACAGTATGCTTGCATTCTGCATTTAGTAGACAAAGAGAAATAGAAAAAAAAGAGAGGTTATAATTTTAAGTCCTTGAGAAGGAAGGGGAGGATCCAGAAAACAAGTGGAGGGGATGGATGCCTATAAACAGTACACATCAACTATTTTAACAGGAAGGCAAGCAGATATGAAGAGAGAGGTAGGGATGCTAGTCGACTGGTGCTAGGAAGAAACGAGAGCTCTCATGTGATGTCTTCTTTTTCCTCAGTAGAGTACACAGTATGGCTGTTGTTAAGGCAGTAAGAAGGAAGTAGAACAGGGCAAGGGAGTGCTTATCTAGGCAAGCTATGAAGAGAAGTACAGATGTGAAGAGAAGTACAGATGTAAAGAGAAGTACAGATGTAAAGGTCAGTTTCTGGCCCTCAAGTGAAAAACTTCATAAATATTCAAAGTAGTTTCTTTCATAATTTCTTAATTGTAACTATATGGAAATTTCCAGTTGATGAGCTAATTGTTCTAACTATTTTAGAAGAACTACGTCTATATGTTTCAGTATACCCTGAAGGTTAAAGATCACACAATAAATCCATTTCCAGATAGCTATACATGTCTCATTTCATCTTCTATTATTATTAGTTTTAGAGACAGGGTCTTGCTCTATCGCCCACGCTGGAGTGCAGTGGTGCAATCACTGCAATTCTGGTTTACCTCTTCCTTCTCTAATCCTTCCTGCTCTAGTCCTGCAGTGGTACAGGAGCATCACTTGGGCCCAGGGGTTTGAGACTGTAGTGAGCTCAAACTCCTGGGCTCAAGTGATCCTCCTGCCTTAGCCTCCCAAAGTGCTGGGATTATAGGCATGAGCCACCAAAGCCCAGCCTCATTTCGTGTTCTAAAGGCTGTTGGGAACAGTGATAGAAATTAAACATCATCTGTCACGAAACATCATATAGTCATTTATATACATATATGTATACATACAGAAAAATGTGACATATATATATCATATACATATAACAAATATAAAGACATTTTAAAGACAAAAATTTTGTACCTGAGATTTTTCTAGGAGATCGACCAAAATAGGAGGTAATTCTTCTGCATCCAAATATTCAAGCAACTCTCCTTCTTCATAGGGCAGTCGAATGGTCTCAGAATCTTAATTTAAAACATAAAGTTTGAAAATGATGACGCTCACTGAAAGCTTAGCTGTATAATTCAAATGGCTTTTCAAAAAAAGGTCTATAATAAAACCAAAAGGCATTTCAACAAAGCAAGGATTGAAAAAAAACCAAAACCAAAAGGCCCTCCTAATGTCCTTTATTTAAGGGGGGGGGAAAAACCTAACACATTATGAAAAAACATCTGGCATAACATCACAATCTGAATCACAGCCCAAAGCAAAATAATCAGAATATGATAAAATTCCAATGTCAAAGTAACTGAAAGTTCACTGAAGACCAATTAATCTAATCTGGAAATCAGAGGACACTTTGGTGCGTTATCTGAAAAGTGGTCACTTTTAGAACAAAATTCTCTTGGTGTTACACTTTACAACTAATTATCAACACACACACAAAATTCTAGCTATGAGAGTTCCTTGTAGAACTCACATTATCATCATTATTAAATTTTTTTATCTCTTTAATGAAACTGAAGAGTATATTTTTAAATTATTTTCATACTCACCATTAACAGAAATGCTCATATTCAATAGAAATATTTTTAATATGTGAAAATTACTCAAAAGGCAGCAAGTCTGCTTAATTTTGAAGATTTCAGACTCATATTCAAACTGCAGGATTACCTATCTTTAAACACGGTATACTATCTTAAAATATAAATAGCAATAGAATGAAAGGAAATTCTATTTTAATTATCTGTAAGTTACGTTTCTATAATTTTCCTTTTTTTTTTTAACCTTTCCTTTGGTTCTGAGATGCTTTTATAATTGGACTTCAAAGACATATCAATTATAATACTTCTAAAATGCACACTCAGGAAAGATAACCATAAGATAAATAATTTCTAATATTCTACCAAAACATATCATAAGGAAGAAAATTGGGATCAAAATCTGTTTTTATCACTAAGTCATCACTATCTGAAGGACAAATGCTTTAGCAGGTTAAAAAACTACTTTAAAAAAACAGCACATCCTGCCTGGCAAAAGAATTTTGTGGCAGCTGTGCTCTAGAGGGTCTTACCTGATCCGTTTTTTCCCCTGAGCATCAGAGAATATCCCTCATTTCCTGGGTACAGATTGACCACTAAACATGACAAAGTCTCTTGCATAACAAGCTTCTCTAACAAGTTCACATTTCTTCTTAATTTCTGCTTTAAAAAGAGGCAGAGCTCATGAAAATAATCCAGTATAACCTTAATAAATAATGCTATGATTTAACAAAATCAGGCTTGAAGTAACCTTTTGGTGCTCTTTCCGCATTATGATTCTGAATAAATGAAGAAGGCTCACAAAACTATAGCCACTACATATGGGACAGCTATGTAACCTTAATTTTTATCTACTACTATGTTTCAAGCAAATTAATTCATATTTTAAAAACTGGTGACCTCCAAGACAATAAAAGCACTTAAATATAAAACACTTTTGAATACTTAATAAAAATATTTAAATAAGTAGAATATAAAATCATTAAATGCAAATATATAAAACACAGAAGTATACAGTTTCCATAAAGTATAAGTCTAACCTAAAGAATATGGAGCATTCTCTTTGGTTGTATCTAAGAAGTGCACATTTCTTAAATATTTTATAGGCTAAATAAGATACAAACAAGTTCAACAGCTCTAAGCTGAAATGTTGAATCTAAAAATATCTAATTGATAAGACGAACAATTTGGACATATTCTGTAAATCCAATTCAACAGCGCCTTAAAAACCACAACAAAGTCCATGATTTTAAAAATGCGTATGATTTAAAATAAAACCTACTTACAGATTTAACAAATCATGTCATCAAATCTCATTTAGCAAAGATAACAGTAAATAGAATATTTTTTCAGAATCTCAAAAAAAACCAAAATGTCTTGAATATCTTATGTTTAGTAAATATATATTAAACATGTATCATACACACATACAGAGAGAAGTGATAAATTCTTAATCTGTCATCACCATAGAATGAAAACACTAAGCAATCTGAAAATTTTTTAAAAAGGCAAACAACATTTAACCACTTTGATGTTAAACTAGTAAAGAGAGGCTAAAAATGTTAGTCTTTTCAGTGTAGCGAAACCCCTCATAATTTGACTTAAGACAGAATTAGATAAATTTTTATAGTATGTGTACCTCTTCAACAAAACAAATTAGCTACCACGGAGTTGATCCCATCTAGACTAGAGGTTGAAAATTTTCTTTCTTAATGGGTCAGACAGTATTTTATGCTTGTGGGCCAAATAGTTTGTGCTGCAACACTCAATTTGTCTTTGTACCTGTAAGCCAGCCCTAGATAATATACAAACCAACAGGTGTGATGGGTTCCAATAAAAATTCATTTATAAAAACATGTAGTAGGCACATTTAGCTGGTGGAGAGCAGCTTGCCAATTCCAATTTAGAATCTTCATATATGCAGCTCTCTTATTTTAGTTCTGTCACTGAGGTGATGAATATGTACATTCTATTGTTCGTAGTGATGATTCCATGGGTGTTTCTATCTACAATGCACATGTCAAAACTTAAAAAATATATACTTTAAACATGTACAATTTATTGTATGTCATGTATATATCAGTAAAACTTATGAAAAACATACTGTAAGATTTATAAGTTTAAAAATAATTTTTTTCCTAATATGAAGATTTTAAAGTTAGATACTACTGGAATTCCACTGTTTCTGGCCTGAATAGTAAAACTGTATTCATTTTTAAAGACAGACAACAAAAGCTCATAGAGACCTTTAAGGCTCTTCCAACCTGAGGGCTCAAAGACATCAATAAATCAACTTCTGTTACATTTCTACTACCCACATCTTTTGCTAAATAAAAATGAATTAAGTTAAATTGGCCATGAACTCGTTTTATGAGCAAGCTCACTTTTTATTACTGTACTTGAATTTCATACATGCTCTGTAATAGCTCTGGCTTTCCAGTTCAAATCATCATGAGAAAACAGGTTACTGCTATAAATTTGTAAATCACTTCTCAGACGAAGAAGCAGCAAAAGATAATATATACTGTGTCTTTGCTCATCACTTCCTAGTGAGACAGTCTGTTACTCAATATAACTGTTCCTTCACTCCTACCTCAGCAGGTGATCTCTGCCTGGGGCCACATTAGCCAGAGCTCTGGGTCAGCTGCAGAACTGACTAGTATCTGGCTAAAAAAGATGTTAGTTCACTCACACACACAAAAATAATACTCCAAATCTAACTCCTCCAAATTACTCTCTTCTACATTTCAAAAGCTACAACACAATAAAAATGTATACTTACCTTAACCTCAGGTTCTTTTTCACATTCTTCAATATACAAGTCATAAAGTTTTTGAAATACAGATTTTCTAAAAAAATTTAATGAAACAAACATATAAAATGTTAATATAGTAATCATCATGACATGAATGTTATTTAATTTTTTCCTAAATTTTAACATTTTTTCCTCAATTTCCCAAAAACTGGGGTGGAGCTGAATATAGTAGCTAACATTAACTTAGAAATTCCTAATACATGCAAAGAACCTATAAAATTTCTAGTTCAGTGCCTACTAGGAACGCAATAAAAGGTGGCCATCATCATATTTCAATGAATCTAAGATGTTACCAATTAATTATTCATACCTTCCACTTGATAGGTATTTCCTTTTAGGAGGTCTCTGTCGGGCACTTTCAATGACATACTAAAAAACAAAAGTTTATGAGAATAGCTAGCCTTTTGCTTTTGACTATGAACAACTGTATTGAGTATATCTAAAACATAAGTAAGGCTAAAAAGGCTATTCAGTCACTTAAGTCTCGGAATTACATCTTGTAGGAAAAACTACTTAACATATAAAGATAAGTTTCAAACAAATGAAATTTGAACTGCACTACACTTTAGCAGAGTATTTCATTGCCATAAGCAAAATCATAGTTTCACAACCATGACTTTCACAGGTCAGAAATATTATCAATATATTTTATAGTTGTTCAAAATATGCTTAATGTATGAAAAATATTATACTGTATACCTTAGCTATTTTTTCCTTTGAGTAATTAGAAAACTTGTCAAAACAGGAAAATACAATTTTGGAAATTCTATATCCTTGTTCAAGTAAGTTTTATTCCATAACATTATTATCTTGAGGATTCCAAGTAATAGGTGATCCAAATATCACCTGGTATTTTTATATATTTATAGCAAAATGATATGCATACTTGTCCTAAAATAATAATGTGCTCCTTTAAAAACCACATACAAAAATCTCTTAAAACTGAGCTTTTGTCAGTTAAAGACAACACTATTTCAATATGTAACTTAGTCACACCTCACCTCTGCACGATCCAAAGCTAGTTCTAAAGCTTGTTGCTGTAAAAAGTAAATAGTATATTTGGCAACATTAGTTATTTCCACAAAAAAAATTTAATATACATTTAACATTTCTAATGTTTTCTAAAACAGGTCTAATATATTCTCCTTTATTTGTCTCCTCCACTCCACTCTATGATCAATATATACACCAAAGAAAAAATATGAGTCTTGGGCACCTGATTACTAACAACAAACTAAATAAGAATGCTAACACGGTCTCTCTGGTCAGTATTTGTGAGGTTAACATAGGGGAGGTTTGCATATAGCAGCTATCATCACTTCATAGACTTTAATTTTTAAGAGCACCGTTCAAAAAAATTTACTGGCCATAAAGTATACAATCAAAATGAAGCAAAGGCTAAACTCTCCTAATTTGCTAAAAATCTTGAAAATTGGGAGTGGGGTTGTACTGGCACTTAACATTAACTTAGAAAGTGCTAATATATTAATGCAAAAAACCTATAACATCTCTAGCTCAGTGCCTAGAAAGAATGCAATAAATGATGGCTATCATTGCCATGTTTCAATGAATTTAAGATGCCACTGAAAGCATGCATCATTATTTTGTGTAACATTAAGACAGAAAAAAAAAAGCTATAAATTGTAAGATATTCGAGTATCAACTCATCAATTCAGTAATATTAAAATATAAAAGAAAATGAACCTCAGAATTGATGAAATATTTTACTGTTACTACATGTAAGGTTTGAGATCCCTATCCACTCATTTCTTAGAGACGAGGAAAAAATATGGTGAAGCTATGCTATTTCTTCATTTGTAAAGCTTTCATTTCTAAAGACACATATGAATAAAAGCACTAGGTCCTAAACAAAATCAAACATGGCCAGGCATGGTGGCTCACGCCTGTAATCCCAGCACTTTGAGAGGTCGAGGCAGGAGGATCACCTGAGGTAAGGAGTTCAAGACCAGCCTGGCCAACATGGTAAAACCCCATCTCTACTAAAAATACAAAATTAGCCAGGCGTGGTGGCACGCGCCTGTAGTCCCAGCTACTCAGGAGGCTGAGGAAGAAGAATCACTTGAACCCGGGAAGCAGAGGTTGCAGTGAGCCCAAATCGTGCTATTGTACTAGAGCCTGGGCAAAAAGAGCAAAACTCAAGTCTAAAACAAACAAACAAAAAAACCCTAAATATACCACCAGTGGTTCTCTTTCTCGTTTTTTGTTTTATAGTATTTTTCATTCACAATGATAGTCATTTTTAAATTTTATTCAGAGGCACAGAACTTTCAGTTTTTATTTAAAAGGACTTAAATTCTTCTGTCTTATTTTGTAGATTCCAATACCTCAAACCTACCAAATTGCATGTGGGTAAAAACTCCTACCACCCACCAAAGTCCCAGGAGGGCAAGGGGGAAAAACAAATACTGCCACCCTTTGGAAATCATGGGAACTTTTAAGTGACCACCTAGTCCTAAGGATGGAGAATTTGTATAATTCCAAAAATAGTGGGCCTTCTTGCACTGTTCAATAAAAAACAATCCATATTATCAAATATCTAAATATGATAAGTGAAGAAAGTCTGAAATCTGCCATGTTTTCAAAACGTTCAGTTGTAACAAATCTACACCAATTTGCTTTGTTAAAAAATCTTGGCCAGGCACTGTGGCACATGCCTGTAATCCCAAAGCTTTGGGAAGCTGAGGTGGGAAACCAGGAGTTCGAGACCAGCCTGGAGAATACAGTGAGATTCTGTCTCTCTCCCCCCCCCAAAAAAAATCTTATAAGGAGCAGATTCCCAGTGAAACTGGTTCCCAGGATTCAAGTTAAGATTCCTGAATCCCATTTTCCCTGATCCTATTTTCCACCATGAAAACATAATTCTGTACATATACACTTCACAAATACAGAAGGTTCTTTTAAATATTGCCCATAAAAGTTTAGAGTTTGTATCAAAAAGTTATAATAAACACAATCAAATATATATAGTCTAGGACAATTTTAAACAGTCAACATCTCAAGTAAATATTTCGTCTTCTGAAATTAAAACTTCAAAGGGTCTAGAGAGACATGTCTACATACATAAATAAAAGCATCATTCATTCATTACCTCCTTCAAATACTTAAGAGGAAAATGATTAGGTAATATAGATGCAAAATATAAGGTGTGGTCAGAACCCCACTGTGATATTTCTACTTTTCTCTAATAGGGGAGGAGTGGATAGGCAAGAACCCAAGAGGATAAGGAAGATGGATGTTTTCTGAAGATTTGATGCAGAACAGGGGTTACCTAAATAAATAACATGGTGGTCAATGTTCATTTATTCTCTGTCATATGCTGCTGCTTCTCTAAAACATTAAAAAGTGTTTTTCTCCTTTAGTCTGTCATTTCTTAATGGCAAAAGTTAAATGCCTACTCCTAAGTATGTTTAGTGACTCTAAGTCAGTGAACAGAAATGTGCCTTTAGAAGCTCAGCACTGATGCTGCCTGAAATACGTTATGTGCAGTTAGCAGGTTACATTTGTTTTCAAAGTTTAATAAAATCTAAAGAAAAGCTTTAAAATATGAGAAATCTATACTCCCCAAAACTGTTTGTATTTACACCCATCCTCCTTGCCAACGATTTGGAATATGGTAAAGCAGATAGTAGTAAATATTTTTAATACTTCATAAACACAAGAACAGATAGATGGATGAATGTGATCATTATAACACCGATTAGTGGGGAACATATTTTATAGAGAAGATTTTGCAATGTGATTGCTAAGTAATTTCCCAGTTGGGATAACTTGTACAGCTTACAAGAGTATTTCTTTATCTACAGTACAAATATCTTTATGAAGATGAAGGAAGAGAACATTCTAAAACACAAATTTGAACATACTGAGCTGCAGCTTACCATTATGGCATAAAATAAGGGTCCAAAAGAAGAGATAACTTATGTACGCTGATGAAGTGGGGTGAACACCATGTCTTTAACATCAATCTTACAGTACTGAAAAGCAAAAACAATAAAACCCCAATATTAACATAAGGCTATTAAGAGAAAAAAATGAGATTACATATTTAATAATTAACAAGGAAAATCACTTATCTTTTTAAGACATATATATTTTTAAGACATTTTTTAATAATGTGTAACAATAAAATTCATGTGCTACAACCTATCCACTCACTGCTGAAAAGTAGTTTTAACGAGGTAGGGCAAAACACATTTGCAAGTTACAATTATTACTCCCTTTCTTCAAAAATATTTAACATCCCCAGAGAGAAAAAAAAATTTTTTTTAAATCTCTTCTCTATCACCACTGTTGCTGTTCTCATTTTTCCTCTGAATTATTTTAATAGCCTGCCCACTGGGCTAGTTCACTATACAGCTGACTTTACAAATCACAGATATAATCATGTCTGCTGATAAAAAATCCTTACTAATAAAAGAGGACACAAACAAATAGAAAAAAAAAATCCATGCTCATGGATAGGAAGAATCAATATTGTGAAAATGGCCATATTGCCCTAAGTGCTTATAGATTCAATGCTATTACCATTAAGCTACCATTAACTTTCTTCACAAAACTAGAAAATACTACTTTAAATTTCATATGGAACCAAAAAAGAGCCTGTATTGCCAAGACAATCGTCAGCAAAAAGAACAAAACTGGAGGCATCACGCTGTCTGACTTCAAACTACACTACAAGGCTACAGTAACCAAAACAGCATGCTACTGGTACCAAAACAGATATATAGACCAATGGAACAGAACAGAGGCCTCAGAAATAACACCACACATCTACAACCATCTAATATTCAACAAACCTGACAAAAACAAGCAATGGGGAGATGATTCCCTATTTAATAAACGGCGCTGGGAAAACCAGCTAGCCATACACAGAAAACAGAAATTGGACCCCTTCCTTACATCTTATACAAAAATTAACTCAAGATGGATTAAAGACTTAAACCTAAAACCTAAAACCATAAAAACCCTAGAAGAAAACCTAAGGAATACCATTCAGGACATAGGCATGGACAAAGACTTCATGACTACAACACCAAAAGCAACTGCAACAAAAGCCAAAATTGTCAAACGGGATCTAATTAAACTAAAGAGCTTCTGCTCAGCAAAAGAAGCTATCATCAGAGTGGGAGAACATTTTTGCAATCTATCCTTCTGACAAAGGTCTAATATCCAGAATCTACAAGCAACTTAGAAGAAAAAAACAACCCCATCAAAAAGTGGGTGAAGGATATGAACAGACATTTCTCAAAAGACATTTATGAGGCCAACATATGAAAATAAGCTCATTATCACTGGTCATTAGAAAAATGCAAATCAAAACCACAATGAAATACCATCTCACGCCAGTTAGAATGGCGATCATTAAAAAGTCTAGAAACAACAGATGCTGGTGAGGCTGTGGAGAAATGGGAATACTTTTACACTGTTGGTGGGAGTGTAAATTAGTTCAACCATTGTGGAAGATGGTGTGGCAATGCCTCAAGGATCTAGAACCAGAAATACTGTTTGACCCAGCAATTCCATTACTGGGTATATACCCAAAGGATTATAAATCATTCTACTATAAAGACACATGCACATGTAACATATGTTTACTGGAGCACTATTTACAATAATGAAGACTTGAAACCAACCCAAATGGCCACCAGTGATAGACTGGATAAAGAAAGGGTGGCACATATACACCATGGAATACTATGCAGCCGTAAAAAAGAATGAATTCATGTCCTCTGCAGGGACATGAATGATTCTGGAAACCACCATCCTCAACAAACTAACACAGGAACAGAAAACCAAACAGCACATGCTCTCACTCCTAAGTAGGAGTTGAACAATGAGAACACATGGACACAGGGAGGAGAACATCACACACTGGGGCCTGTTGGGGGCAAGGGGAGGGAGAGCATTAGGACAAATACCTAACACATGCAGGCCTTAAAACCTAGATGACGGGTTGATGGGTGCAGCAAACCACCATGGCACATCTATATGTATGTAACAAACCTGCACGTTCAGCACATGTATCCCATAAATTAAACTAAAATAACAATAATAAAAAGACACATTATCTAGCATGTTTGATACAAAAAACAAAAACAAAACCAAACCTCACTCCTTGGATACACACTTTTAATATTTGGTGGAAAGAGAAGGGAATTTATAAACCATTTCTGCTAAATACTAAAATATGATGGGTTTTTTTTACCAGGGCACAGCCCTTGTTTGTTTTTTAGATGCAAAGGAATCAGCTGCTTTTTCCATTTCTACTTGAAAAAATAACTGATAAGCAAATTATAGATATTCAAACAAGTATTTCGTGCTTGCTTAAAAATAACAAAGTAAGCCAATCAGTTCAAGAAAAACAACTTCCCATGTTAAATGGTGCTGGGAAAACTGGCTAATAATAAAATTTGAACCCATAAGGTTATAATTTCAATGGACTTTTATGTGACTACTATTATTCAAAGGCTTTTTCTGACGAGATTGCTGGTGACACTGAAAAATCGATTTTTTGATATTGTTTAATGAAATGTATTGACATTTAAAAGATCTTTGTAACTCTCACAACTTGATTTTCCAAATAACCAATGAATGAGGTTTCAAAATTATGCATGGATAAAGACTGATTCAAAGTTGCAGAGAGACAAATGGATTTCAAACTAACAGAATATAAAGTTCACTGATAAAATTTCAAGTTCAGATTGCAACTTAACTTTGAAAAACAACGATGTTTTGAGTTTTGTGCCAGGCGTGGTGGCGCGTGCCTATAGTCCCAGCTACTTAGGAGGCTGAGGGAGGAGAATCGCTCCCGGGAGGCGCACGTTGCAGTGAGCCGAGATCACGCCTACACTCTGGCCTGGATGAGAAAAAAATAAAATCCTGTTATTAATATCCTCCAAATGCCTCAGGATACATTTTCCAGATGCCAATTCCAATGCCACCAGCCCTTAAGCAACTATGCACTCTTGAAAACCTTCTTTCTCGTAACTACAGGAGTTCTCATCCTGGCTGCACAAAAGTAACTTGCGGAGCTTGAAACTGTGGGATGCCTGTGACCCACTCGCTTGAGACAGATTAAGTGGTCTAGAGTGAGGCACGGTCCCCATTTTTGGAGCTTCCCAGACGAGTCAAATGTGCTGCCAGGGTTAAAGCTCACTCTGCCTAGCCCAGAGATGGTGCATAACATTTGCTCTAAGACTGGGCATGGTCGTTCACACCTGTAACCCCAGGACTTTGGGAGGCCCAGGTGGGAGGATCATCTGAGCTGAGGAATTTGAGACCAGTCTGGCCAACATAGTGAGACCTTGTCACTACCAAGGCAAGAAAAAAAAATCAGTCCAACATAGTGGTACACGTCTGTAGTCCCAGCTACTCGGGAGGCTGAGGCAGGAGGAGCACTTAAGCTTGGGAAAGAGGCTGCAGTGAGCCATGATCACACCACTGTACTCCAGCCTGGGTAACAGAGCAAGACCCTGTCTAAATAAATAAATAAATAAATAAATAAATAAAATAGAAAACATTTGCTCTGACAGTGATGACAAAAATTGTTAATCTATTCACCTAAGTTCACGTAACCACCACTGGGTGTCTACACAGCTGAACTAAAGCACAACTTCTGATGACAGAAAACAAGATTTTCCAGGTAAAAGTTTTGCTTTGATTTTTGGTGAACCCCAAAGCTTTGTTTTGTGTCAAGTCATTAAAAAAAAAAAAAAAAAAAAAAAGGGAAAGGGCCAGGTGGGGTGTGGCTCACACCAGTAATCCCAGCACTTTGGGAGGCCAAGGCAGGTGGATCGCTTCAGCCCGGGAGTTCGAGACCAGCCTGGACAACATGGCGAAACCCCGTCTCTACTAAACACACAAAAATCAGCCGGGTGAGGTCACGTGCACCTGTAATCCCAGCTACTCAGGAGGCTGAGGCAAGAGAATCGCTTGAACCTGAGAGATGGAGGTTGCAGTGAGCCAAGATCGCGCTACTGCACTCCAGCCTGGGAGACAGAACGAGACTCCGTCTCAAAAAAATAAATAAATAAATAAATAAATAAATAAAATAAAATAAAATAAAAATAAATAAATTTTGGCTAGGGCGGTGGTTCATGCCTGTAAGAGGCAGAAGTAGGTGGATCACTTGAGGTCAGGAATTCGAGACCAGCCTGACCAACAATGCTGAAACCCAGTCTCTACTAAAAAAAAATTAAAAAGTAGCCGGGTGTGTTGGCACACGTCTGTAATCCCAGCTACTCGGGAGGCTGAAGCAGGATAATCGCTCTAACCGGGAGGCAGAGGTTGCAGTGAGCCGGGATCGCGCCATTGAACTCCAGCCTGGGCAAGAAGAGTGAAACTCTGTCCGGCGGGGCGGGGGACTAAACAACTTTTAAAAATGGACTAAACTCCTAATACAACACAAACACAAGCACCATACAACTGTAAATGAGTTACAACCATTTACAATGAGTAAATTATTACTCCTACCCTTGAAGAGCTCGTAGGAGTTGTTCTTTAAGTTGAATTTAGGTTAAGGTAAAAATGTTCTGACCACTGAATTTGAAGACGAAGATACGCTACGTACTTTCACACAAAATATGATGACTTTAAGATTTCTTGTCACTAAATTGGGGATGGGGGCTTACTAACTTTATACTATTTAAATCCTTCAGACAAAAACTAGTAACTTCATATCTCTCACAAAGCAAACATTCTGACTGTATACAGTACTAGAATCTGCGAGAAAATTGTAATCATTATCATGTCCATTTTATAGAATAAGGCAATCAGAACAACTGACTTTCCTAACATCACAGATCTAGACCAGAATTCAGAACTCTCGACGTCCACTCTTCGGTCCCTTCCAACATCACAACCTGCAAACTAATCAAACCAGCACCTGTTTTTACATTTAAAAAAGCAACGCATTTAAAAAAAAGGACCCAATTATGCTCAGAGACGAATACGTATTTCTCAATTTGGGTCTAACTTTATAACATGGTGATCAACCCAAGTATACTGTACTCAACTCCGAAAATCCTGCTCTTCACTTTATATTTTGAGTCCTACTAGAGACTGATGAATTGCACTCAAGAAGACGCGGCCCCCACTACGCAGTGGTTACGGGAGATGGCTTCCAGGGCAACTGTTCTCCAAGTTCATTTCTGAGCGCCGGGTAACCATGGCCAGTAATTAATCCAAATTCTAAACGTTGCTATCAATTCTACTGATTTCCCTGATCGACCAGTCTTCCCACTGCAGGAGCTTCTGTCACAACTTAGGCTTTACCTGTAAAACCGTCATCTCCACAGAGGAGCGACCAGCCTTTATGCAATATGGACACCAAGAAAAACGCCTCCGAAGACATGCAAGGCAAAATTCTTGCCAATGTCCGGAAATACCCGTATCTGGAACCCAAAAGTCAAACTAAAATTCAAAGTTCGGCTTAGCAACACCGCGAAAAGCGATGTACGCGGCGTCCGCCCGGAGGTTAGCTGCCTCAACCCCCGC